ATTTCATTCTGTGCCTTATCATTTCTGTTGAATATTCTTTAACCACTTTAAATTTTGTATGTTTATTGAAGGTCTTGAGGCAGGATTCTTCAGCAGGTACACCCAAAATGTGAGTTCTATGCATGCGTTCCCCCATAAAATTAATGAACTGTAGGCTGTTGGATCTGCACTGCACGTAACATTGTTTAGAATTACATGTAAAATTGTATGGCAGTATTGCACGAGGATGATATTCTTACCTTTGGTCAAGAAGGATTCTTAAAGGATGTGAGATTTTTTACAAAATAGAAAGCTTCCTTGTCGGTTACTTCACTTTCAATCAGTATGTTTTTAATGATATTAATGATAGTTATTATTGCTATTGTTAAATTACTTTGTTTTGCAGCAAAATGACACGTAAGAGAACTCCAACCAAATTGACAAATAATGAAGTTAAAGAATTTTACAACTTCGTCTTAAACAAGAGAGATGGAAGAAGAAAACTGAAACCAAAACTGAAAAACCAAGATGGAGGAATGGATGGTGCAACAGATCAGAGCTCAGAAGCTTCTAGTACAACAGCAGCTAGCTCAGCAGAGTGTGCATCAACAGATCTCCCTGTTGCTGGATTAACAGCTGGTCCTCAGTTGCCAGCACCTGTAATGATAACTGTTGATGCCCAAGGCAATCCAATTCAGTTACCTTTGATGACACCACAGCTTCTGCCATTAACCGGTGGCACACAGCCTGCTCTTGTGTTTTTCTTGGGGCCATCTGGCATGGTTCCTTCAGGAGATTCTCCACTTGTTTCTAATGCTAGTTCTAATGCACCACTTGGAAATGCAGTGTACTTCACTCAGCCAGTTACTCTGAATGTCATTCCTCAAGATGCATCCTTAAATGGAGGAGTTATAGAGAAAGCTTTGGAACTTGCACAGTTTCAATCAAATCCTGAACAAAGTGATCCTCAGCTGCCATCGCAGAACATAACAACAGAGTTGATGATCTCAGAGGGAAATAGCTCTATTCCCTCCAATATAACTAGTTCCAATTTGCAAGGATCATTTCCCATTGATCACTCATTTGGCTCTATGCCAAATATTTCTCAGAATGTAGTCATAACACAGTCAGTTGCTGCTGGAGAAAGTGTACCCATTGAGAATGTATCAGAGTCTGTTACTGTGAAAACTTCGCAGATCATGCAAAATCAGGGTTTGTTTGATTTGCGGCCTATTTTGGACGAAACACGAGCACAATTGGCAGATTCAGCAGATACCAGTACAGAGACTGCACCAGAAAACTTTGCAGATGATGTACCTAAACTTGTTTATAGGAAAAAAGTCTTACAAATTCGTGAAGTAATGACTCAGACAGGTGGTGAATCAGAGGTGTACATTGTCAGTGAAAGAAAACTGGATTGTGAGGAAGATACACCTGTTGATGGGCCACTAGAAAATGAAAATACAGACAGTAACTCAAAGAAACCAGGTTTGTTTTGTTATTGTACCTAGTAATATGGGAACTAATTTTTTTGTTGTTTCTTTGTTTAGACAACAGAACAACTAAAATATATCAAATAATAGATGGGAACCCCACCTGTTCATGTACTCTGCACTCTATACCCTCTATCAAAGCCAAGATCATAGATCTGATATGAATTTTTGGGATTTCATAATGTATATCTGGTCATTGACCGAAGGCTGAATTTCCTCTTTTCTCAGCAAGAGTAAAGCAATTTGGGTGTGACAAATGTGAGAAGAAATTTTACACAAACAATCTCCTAAGACGCCACCAAACCAGTCACCAAGAGGCAAGACCTTTTAGCTGTGAGGTAACATACTGAAATTGAGTTTTTGGTGTGAATAATAATTTATTTTTTCACAGTTGGCAAATGCAACATGGGAAGTCCAGTTGTATTTACACTGTACACCTGTTTCTTTGTTATGCTTATTAAATTAAGACTACCTGGTACATATGCCAATAATAAGACTGCAGATACTAATTATCTTGTTTAAGCAGACATTTTTACTTGATACTCTCAGAAAACGTAAAATTAGTGTTTATTTCTAAATGAAAATTGTGAAATGAAAATTGTGTTATGGCTTAAGCATTGTAATTGAACAAAATAAAAATTTCATGATCAGATGATGTTTTGCAAGGTACGGTTGAGAAATTACACAAACCCTTAAAAAGCAGTTACAGCCATTTCTGTGCTCACCAGCTATGATATTTTTCTGTGAAAACCTCAGTGTTGGTCCTTGAGTGTGAAGAATAAGATTTCAGCACAACCAATTTCTGTTTCTTTCAGGAATGTCAGAAGGGATTTAGAACTTCTAATGAGCTCACTATCCACAAGGCCATTCATGTGGAAGTCAAGCAATACAAATGCGAATTCTGTGGAAAAGAGTTTAGGACTAAAGGATGTATCAAGTCACACATCAAGTATCACATTGGTGAGAATCAGATTTTTGTTTGTTATTAACCCTTTGATTCTCCTGTCAAGCTGCTACAGTACATCCACTGTATTTCCTTGTAAATTAGTTTTGAGAATTTGGTGTTAGAATAAGGTAATAACTCTTTCTTGATAAGATTGAGCACTTTCATTGGTTGTTTGCCAGTTAAGATATGGATATTATAGGGAGAAGTGACATATTAGTCACTTGGAGTGAAGGGATTAATAGTTTTTTTGGATAACTATTTGCGAAAGTAGTTCTTACCAATTGTAACTGCTGGATTTGACTGATAATACATATGAAAGGAAAAATATTTCTTTCAACTTCATCATCGCAACACTGAAAAGCCATTTTCACCAAATAGTCTTTACAAATGCTAGGTTGTTGCACATATCAACAGTGAAGTTTTGAAACAAACAAAGTCAAGCAATGATAGCATATAAAGTTTGCATCAATCACATACAACAATGTTGGAACTTGAAACTTGGGTATTAATTTGTCAGCATTAGTGGTCTATCAACTTAAAGTGACTTAGATGGTCGTTTAACCCTTAAACCTTTAATAGTGACTGGTTTTTAATTCTCCTTACAGTATCATGCTTGAATCAAATGGAAAGGTCATGAGATTTAAGGGAGTGATCATTAATTTTGGAATTAAACAAATTTCCTTGTGACTACCAGAAATTTAAAGAGAACATTGTGAAGAATAGGAATAGTAATTTTAGAGTTTGTAGGATTGATGTGCCTTTTGTTTCCAGGTGTAAATCCAGAGAATATAGTAAGGTATCATTGCGAAGAATAAAATCTTGGTTCACTTATCTTTTAGAACATTTGTATTCACTGATCATCTAATTTTGATCCTGTATTGTTTTTTTAAGGAGACAAAAGGCACAAGTGCACAGATTGTGGCAGAGCATTTGTCAAAAGTGCAGATCTCAAACGACATATGGCAGGACACAGAAATGAGAAGAAGTTTGTGTGTGAAGATTGTGGTTCAGCCTTTACACGTCGAGATAACTTGAAAGCACATAGACTCCTGCATACCAGGGAGTCTGTGGTTACATGTGACTTGTGTTCCAAGGAGTTCATCAATGCAGTTTACTTGAAGAGACATATGCACATACACAAGCAGGCTAAGAAGAAACCCTACGAGTAAGTCAGGTCTCCATGTATGCAGTTGTAGGTAACATCTAAGAATTGAGATTTTATGTGAGGTACTACAACAACACAATGCAAGCACAGCCACCCATGGAATTGCTGGAACAAGTAATTCAAACTTTGAATGTTTCAGGTGCTTGAGATAATCTATAGATGTAGGCCTTTGTACTTCATGGTCTTTATATATGACTTGGTCTTTTTTTTTATAAGTGCACAGTTTTTCTAAGTTATTTCCCAAGATACAGTGTAACACACAAATGACACGTTTGCATTGAAAATTCAATTGGACACATGTTAAACAACTTCCCTCTGATGGGAAATGTTGATGTTTGAAATGATCTCATAGTTGTAAAACAAGTATCTCACTAGTTGTAATGCTAGGATAATCTGAAACCATAGAAGAACTTAAATCTGTTCATTAAGTTGTTCTGTAGTTCCAACATATGAGTTAACAAAAGAAGAAGTAAGACAATTTTGAAATGAATAAGTTGTCAAAACTGTGGAATTGTTTGGAAAATTTTGTAGCTTTAAAATTTTCCACTTCCTGTGCTTTACTTATGCAGGTGTCAGTGGTGCCCAAAGACATATGAACAGCTGGAGGGATTGAGACGACACATTCGCCAACATGTTGGGGATGAAAAATTTGTTTGTAAAGATTGTGGAAAAAAGTTTATAACCAGCATCCAACTCAAACGACATCTTTGGCTATCACATGATCAAGACAGTCCTTACAGAAGATCTATTTTGTAGAGACCTAGGATATGAACCTTGTGAAATGATACTTAGTGATTTTTTGAATTTACATGTACCACCTGCACATAAAGATACACCATTGAACAAAAAGAATGATTACTTTGATAATAGTGATAAATTGCTGTTTTGCACCAAATTTAAAACCCTTTGCAGAGGTTATCATAAAGTGTTACAAGTTTGTTTTCCTTACTCAGTACATAGTACTAAAAATGGACCACCAATATTTAATCCTTTGGAGGGTGCCATTACCTCAGTACATTTACATCCTATGGCATAATGCTTTCTTAGACAGGCAAGAGTAGTTCACCAATTACTAGTTTCTGAAAGATTTTGATACTAAACAAACAATATACTCAATAGTACAGTATTTCTATTTAGATTAAAATTAAATGGGAACGAATTCAAACAAGTTCAGTACTGTAAGTAACACTTCAAAGAATAAAACTTGCATAATGCTTTCTTTCTTGTTTTCTTTATTATTACATTTCCTCTAACTCACATCTCATGGAGCCACATATTGGTCTGTGCCACTTTTTCCAGTCCTTCTCATGCTATCTTGTAGGGCCATAATACAAGGAATTTTTTTTATGTGTTTCATATGGTCATGATATAAATGTAGGTAATTTAGTGTTAACAACTGGGTTGAAAACGTAAAAAGCTGACGTTTTGAGCGTTAGCCCTTCGTCAGAGTGATAGAAAATGATATAAATGTATACACTTACTGACTGAATAGTAAGGATACAAATATGAAAAATTTTCCCATTCCCATTTCTTTCTTGAAAATTTGTCGTTCTCTTTTTCCACTTAAGACTTAAAGCTTCGCTGAAACAAAACACTTCACTGGCCACATGTCACCATTATCAAGTGCAAAATTTTACAACACATGAAAAAGTTGAAGCAAAATGAACAGTTGCACTGATGTAATTTCAAAAGTTATATCTTTATTTACAGTATATCGTTCTTAGCCTCTCATTCCTTGCATTTGACAATAGTGACATTAAAACCTAAGCATCTCATTCTATATAGCAACTTTTTGCTCAGCCTAGTAAGGCTAGAGTGATCAAAGGCCAAATATTTTCCTCTCCAACCTGCAGTGACTCAGTCAATAAGCATATCATTATTGTAAGACAGCTGTTCTTCCTCTTCCTTCTTCCTTGTTTCATTTTTTTACGAGGCAGTATGCAGGGTTGTGCACCTTCCACACGGCCCTAATCACAGTATCACATACAACCCCTCTATGGAGATTTTTCATTGTGTTCTTCATTAATAAAGCTTATAAATGGGAGAATTACTCCCTGTTGAACTGAAAAGTTTGTGCCACCAACACCTGCCTGAGGAGAGAAATTTTGTGGCTGATGGTAAGGTCTGTCCTTGAGCAACTCGTGTCAGGAGGAAGAGCAATTTCACCCCAGAGCAGTTTTTTTTCTTGTGAAGGAGAGATGCAAATCAGAAACAAAGCAAAACTTGCCAGTTTCTTAAGTGTTAACATATGCCACATCTGACTTTCTGAGTTCCATCATAACATGTAAAACATTCATTTGAGACACATCAGGCTGAGAAAACCTGGGAGATTGCTACTCCAAAAATGGGCAGAAAAATAGTGTGGCAGAAAGGTTGAAATTTCTCCACCAACTTCATTACACCTCTTTCAAAACTTCTTTAATAATCTTTATCTGTGATTCCATACCATGTACAATTTTGAATCTCATGAATGACTCAGACTTCTTCAGATATTTTGCTAGAGTCTTTTATAAAGCCATCTGCCTGCTTGGCCTCTTGAATAAGCTGCTCCACTGTTCTTTCATATTCAGCTTTTCTATCTTTGATAAAAGACATTTGGGGAAAGCGAGGTCGAGTGGAATAGGCAGGAAGAAGCTTCCTAAGGGTGAAAAGTAAAGTAATACTCACTCATAAATCTAGCAGGTCCACCTTTTTGGCAAAGTCCGTAGCACAAGTAAAAAAAATTTAATTTAATTTACATTCAGAGCTGCTATGAGGCAGAAAAAGTGCTTAAAACATTCTAGCTACCTGATGTGGTCCCTGTTTTCATTTAACAACATCTGAACACTCTGTTCACTGCCTTGTAATTCATCTGCAACTCTCCAGAATACAGAGGCACTTCTAAGGTTTGGAGTCATTTTAACCTGGGTGAAAAAGTTCAAAATTAATTTCAATAAAATACATATTTATCAAATTATACCTGCCTCATGTAAAAATTAACATAAACCACAAAACAAAGAAAAAAGCAGGGAAATTGTGGAAGAGAGAAAGACAGCAAGCACAACAAATCAGAAAAATTTTACACCCTGTCTTTGACCCTGAAAAACCACACCCAGTTTAGTGGCATTTCCACTCCTGGAGCTAAATAAATAATCCAGCACATATTACTTAAAACTGACTTGTGCTCATAATTGGGACAGAACAGGAATTTTACTAACAGTACCCGTGTAATCTCCACGTGGAAATTTCCCAGGACAGGACGCAGAGCAGGTTCCATCTCTGGACCATTCAGCACATCCTGAATGACTCCAAGCAAAATGTCAGACACTGCACGCTGTCTGACAGTGTCTGGGATGTTTGGTGCATCATCTCCCTTTAAGGGGTCCAACTCAAAGACATCAATCTGTTTCCATGACGGTGACAGCTGGGTTTAATAAAGAATCAAAGTGAACAATGATCATAAAAATATATTTGCACTGGTAAATTATCATTAGACCATAGCCAAAGTGGCAAAAACATTTATAAATTGTTTAGTTCTTTGCTATGGAAAATGAAGGGGATGCTTATAAAAACCACTTTGGTTCTGCTCAGACATAACAATATCTTTATGGAACTAAAATGGCAGCCAGGCATACTATTTTCATTTCAACATTATAGAATCATTACCTTCCTCCCTTGGCCTGAATTTTTCCTACCAATAAAAGACAAAATGATCAAATAGAGATATCATACAAAGGAAGGTTTGTTTTTATTTTATTTGTGTGGGAGGTGGGGGGGGGGGGGGGTTTCCTCACACCCCACCTAGGTCTTCAGGTTTGTCCAGCCCACTTTCAACTTTCACTCATCCCCTAAGGAAACAGTTTAAGTGTTCAGTGGCCTTCCATATATCATAAAATATTCAAATGTTCCCTTCAGTTTCTTGTTCAAAAAGAAAGAAGTATAATACATTTAACAGGCTTCAGCTAACTTACTTTGTGTTTCTCTTCTTTGATCCAATCGCAAATTTGTCTTTATACTTTGGTGTGGAGAGAGCGGAAAATATCCTTTGAGGAATAAAATGATTCTCGAAGTTCTCCAGAAAGATTCTAGGGTAGGTGAATATCGCAAAATTAACCAATAGTCTAGATCTCCAAAGACAACTCATTCCTTCTCATTTTTGATACAACCTTTTTCAAACTTCTTCATGAAATGAGTAACCGCGCTCTTCTGCCTTGCGACCAGGCATCAGGTTCAAAATGGTGGACGAAGACAAGGATTTTCCCAAGCCAAAAAGAGCTAAGAAAGAGCCACGTAAATATCCTAAAATGCCAATATGGATATGCGAAAATCACGATGAAGTCCTCTACTATATTCATAGAGCTATTGCATCAAAGCATATCGCATACGAAGGAGTTACTGTCCTTCATTTTGACTCTCACCCTGATCTCACAGTTCCCGTGAAGATGAAGGGCCGCACCGTGTTTGAGCAAGAAAAACTCTACGAAGAGATTAGTATTGCGGACTGGATTCTTCCTGCTGTCTTTGCAGGACATATAAATAAGGTTATCTGGGTCAAACCACCGTGGTCAGATCAAATCAAAGAAGGTGTATTTCACTTGAAGGTTGGCCAACACAAGGAAACTGGCTTTATTAGGTAAGATACGTCTTCGACTTTGCATGTCCAAAATGGGTTAAAGACATTTAAATATTCTACACCTGAGCACTTTACGAGTGACCAAAATCCATGTTGACGAGACCCACGTCCGTGAAACGGCAAAACGTATTCTGAACTACCCTATCATCCGCTTGTCACACCAGTTATGAGTTTTGACAGCTTGGAAATTCAGTTTATTTGTTGAGACGTATGAGCATCCACAGACTGAGGATTACTAAATCATAACCAAAACTTGAATAAAACCCTCGATGATTGATCCACTGGTCAAGAAAGCAATATTCCAAGCCACAATTCTTCTATTGCTATTTTGAGCCAAAAAACTCCCATCACTTTTCAATTACATTTACCACAAAATATTTCAAACCCATCCTAAAGATGTTTACTGTAACCTGCATTGAAAGAGTTAGGTAGGTTGAGTCTGCATTCAAGCCAGGTGGCCCTTCCAGCTAGAGCTAATCCCAGTTTATGCAGCTCTAATGGGCCGCAAATAATGCCACTTCCCCTTGGATGCACTACTAGTCTGTCACAGACTACCTGCCAGCATTTCATCAGACTTCCTTGACAGTTCCCAGTACCTCTTTCTACTCCTGGGTGGAGAGAAGCATTGTGAGTGGAAAGTGCCTTGCCAAAGAGCAGCACCTTGCGACCCTTCTAAATCTCAAACCCAGACCTCTCCCCCCAGAGTCTAATGCACTAAATGTTAGGCCACCACATCTCTGCATTGCCCTGAAAGAACCCTGGTTTTGTTTGACTATTATTGCTGGTTCCTAGGAAGTTCAAACTAGACTACAGTTACAACAGTTTAACATAATGGTCTTTGTAAATCAGACTGCCCTGCATGTAGTCAGCAGTTGTATTTATTCAGTAATGTGCATAGCCTTTTTTTCTGATTTTTCAGGGTGACATGTCCAGAGACATATTTTGTGGAAGAGCTACTTTATGCAGATGAAGCATCACTAGAAAACTGCAAAGATTTGGAACTTGTTGTATTTACTCTTGAACCTGGTTCAAAAGAAATCAAGGAACACACTGCTGCCCTGGAGAAAGAAAACAAAGTCTCTAAGGCATTAGATGTGGAGAATAATGAAAATAAAGTTGCCAAAGTGAGGGATCATAAACAGAGCAAAGATGCATTTGAATCATTACTTCCATCAGGCAAATCAACTGCTCTTGAAAATAGCTTTATACTTGATATAGACATGGACTTTTTTTCAACCCAAAACCCTTTCAAGCTGCTTTACACAGACGTAAGTAATAACTCATAGGGTTCTGTTATTATCTTTTCACAAGGTGACTTACACAGCAGTTGTGTTCCATTTTAGGAAGAGTTCCTGTGGCTCAGAGATATTTATAGATTTGAAGAACCTCTCTCAACAAGTAGGGAGGTAAGAAATTTAAAAGATGGTACTATTGTTTTGATGATTAATTTAACTACAGTCAGTTAAAGGGCAGTGACATCAGCCACTGATTATTCAGTGGTTAGTGTGAACTGATGTCAAAAACAGTAATGTGGTAATTTTTAAAGAGTTATAGAAAAAAATCAATAAATGAAGTCTAATAAATAACTCAGTGAATAAACACCCTCATAGTTTTCAGTCATTGTTAATTTGAATTTTTGAGACATAATATGATCAAATTTGTGGCAAATTCTCTGGAGGTCCTTGCAGATTAGCTAGGCCCTTGATTTATTATGAAAAGTTTGGGAAAGACTGTACAGTTTATCTTCTGCTGTTAATAGTATATTGTGTTGATTTTCCTGGTTTCAACTTTCAGCAGTATTGCTGTGGTAACCAAAGTTTGTTTAGTAATTGAACTTTTTATAAATCCTCAGGATTTAGAGAGCTGTGTAACATTACGGAAAGCTCAAGTGGAAAAAATTGAGGCAACTTATTCATATCTGCAACATCAATCTTCTCCTGGCAGTGAGGAGAAATTATGTATTGAAACATCACCTGAATGTTGTCTGAACCAAGATTTGGTTAAGCTAATAGAAATGATCAAAAGTCACAAAAGAGAGGAGCCCAATTATGAAATGGTATTGTTGCTTTCTATGTATAAAATAAATGTTTTGTTGATAATAGTATGGTTAGAGTCCCAGGGCAGTGAGTGGGCAAGGGTAAGTCCAAACAGCTGCAGAAAAATTTTAGTCATGAAGAACAGCAAATAAAGATATCGTTGTTTCATTGTTTACAGAGAAATAAAGGAAAAGGTTCATAATGCCGACATATTCATATCTCCTGATCAACATGATTTGCCCTGCTTTTCCCTGTTAGTTCAACATTGCAACAATATTCTGCTTAAACTTGTTTATTTGCAAAAGGGCCTTATTAAACGTCTGAGTGAGAAACTAGATTCATGTTACTGTTGTGCACCTGTTCAGTAAAAGAGCATAAAATGTGAGGCACAGGTGATTATGTCACTCACATTCTCTCTCTACATTTTGTTTTCTCTCTGGTTTACCACTGAACAGAAACTAGGCAATATGAGAACATTTATTTTGTGTCCTCACTGAAGTTTTTGAAAAATAATTATAAGCTAATTTTTAAGAAATACCTATTAACCTATTTGACCTTTTTAGCTGCACTTTTCTGGGATGTCAGCAGATATTCCTCATCATGTGAGTTCTTCAGAAATGATTGACAGTCTGATGCAATCTATGGCAGCCATGTTGAAATGTTTTCCAAAGCCAACCTTCATCACTATGGCTAGGTACAGATGCTGTTTTATCCTACCTTTGTTGTTTTCTCTCCCATATCATGGTAAACCTAACAAAAATTAACCTTTTTTCCAGGGCCACTGTTCTACTCTCTCCTCCCCTGCCCACTCAGAAATTTGGTAGCAATACTTCTACTCCATTCATGTTGCTCTCTGTTTCTCCTGACCAGTGGATGTCTTGCTAAGCATATTGAAGGGAACAAAAGGTTACAAGTGAGAAATGGGATATCAAAAAAATAAAAACCTCCTCTGCCTTTTCCAACTTTAATTGCTCACCCTCCCTTAAAGAAATCATCTGGTAAGACTGTAATGGAGCTAAGTGTAAATTCTAGGCAAGAATAATCTTAGCAGATATGATAGGTCGATCTCGTCTCAGACTTATAGACTTGTACTTTTCATTGGCTCGGTTCTCAGATGGTCTTAGGAGAGAAGATAGAGAACGAAAAGGCAGCCTCATACCCCAATAGTATCAGAATTACTTTAACACTGCCATTTCATGTTTTTCTTATTCTCTGGAAAGGCTTCAGAAATCTTTGTTAACTGTTTTTTATCTATAAATTTACAGTTAACAAGGTTTACTCAGTCACTTTGATTTGACTTTAGGTCGTCATATGATGAATATACCCCTCCAGATCAAATAGAGCATATTCAGTCATCTCTTCTGAGAGTTATGTCAAGTCTTTATGGTGAAGACATAGCAGCAAACAAGTGCTATCAGTAAACAAACGATGTGGATATTTAGTTTGAATTGAACTGGATCTTCTGCTTGGACATTGGATATGTTTGTAGGATCTCACGCATGATTTCAAATGAAATAAATCTCTCAATGAACCATGTTTCGTCTGCGTTGAGTTTCTTGAGTTTTCAGCGACTGAACATGTCTGTAATCGGTCTAGTGTGTAACAGCGCGGAAACTTACATGTTTCTTACTAACCTCGTTTTCTTTGTCCGTACTGTAAGTTTCGGACAGAGGTTTCAGTTTCTCTGGGATTTATGACCCAAGCGCGAAGCGCGCGGTCTACAAATGCGAGCGGAAAAAAACGAGGTTCCTTATATTATCGAGGTTCCTTATATTATCATACGACCCGTACCGGCTCCGCTTTCGCAATCCCATAGAAAACCAAAGTGGAAGATGACTTAAGTATCGCCGGACGTATTGGCGTGAGCCGGTACGGAAAAAGCCGTCCGGCGCTAGTGCGCTTGTACGGCTTTGTTGCAAAAAAAGAAAAGACACAAAAAAAATATATCTATATCTTCTTCGCTATTGTTGCAAAATTTGAGTGACAGCAGTAACCAGAAATGAGAAAATAAGTCACGTTTTTCGATGAATTGTGAATCTCTTGTTCTGACTCAAAAAAATTAGAGGGAAAATTTTAACATAGAACATCTTTTCCGCCCGCGCCTGTCTATCACGTCCTATTTGGGTTAAAACAAAATTTTCAAAGTCTTGAAAATTAAGTCAGTGGGCATATGATAAAATGCTTATTGATTGAGTGGGGGGGCCTGACGGGAAAATATTTGGCCCGAGGTCAAGTCAGGGCGGGAGAGCCTTCCACTCAGTCAATGAGTACATAGAGAAAACGAGGTTAGCAAGATATTTATTGTATCTTTAGGTTCAAATAGAGGGGGAATTTTCAATTCAAACAACTTTTTGAATTTAGATGTCAATGAAATATGGCCCACACAATTGACCGACTTTTATAGGTTCCCATAGTGTGGGAAAATGTGCAAAAGGCAAATTGGGTTTGGTTTAGATAGCAAAAGCGCCGGTAAATACGTCAAAGATAAAGTCCGATTTGTTTAGGTTACAATATCATTGGAACATTTGAAATTCATGAGTTACTGTTGCAGCTGAAATTCACGATAGTTTGTCTAATGGTCGTGGGTCCTGGGTACAAGTGGTTGACCACGGCTGAGGTGTGAGAGTGAACAATCATGATCAACATTAAATTTATTATTAAAGATAATAAGTGAAGAAATTTTAACAAAAGGAAGAAGTTATGAATCGTGAAAATTGGATGCAGTTATTTTATGAAGTAAAAACGGACTTTGGAAAAAAAGAACAAAAAAATTTGAATATTATTTTTCCAAGAAAATAAATACTGGTTGTTTCTAAGTAACGTGACTTGAAAATAAAGTATCCATCCTCCACTGTACGTCCTCTATGGAGGATAGGTGAAAATAACATCTTGTCTTCCACAGTTTTAAATAAGAACTCGAAATAAACTCTAAGCAACCTAAGAGATCCATCCGTTATGTTTCGGAAAGTTATCATGACAAGCTCGAAAGCGCCGTCCTTCCATCAATTCATTTCCCTTGTTCCGAGTGTTCCGAGTCAAACGTTTGATTGTAAATTGTTCTATTCTTGTAAGTTGTGCAGCTCAAATGCTAACCGAATTTCCGAACTACTTTCTTTTGAGCAAGGCACGTTCTTGTGCATAGTTGCAACGAATTTTGATTGTGGTGCGGTACATAAAGAAGTGTCTGAGCAAATGGGCAAAATTGAGCCATGGGACGCCATTTTGCTGAGACGAAGTCTATTTTATCTCTATATTTTACAATATTTTGGGTTCTTCTCAGGCAAGCGACTAAAGCTGGCGCAAGGAAAGCAAGAGGGGTGAGACACCCGTGCGTCCTTCTCGTGTTCGCCTCGCTTTTACCGCGCGCGCCCGAAAAACGCGAATTAAAAGAAAGAACACAACAAAAACCCCTGCTTTAAACTACATTTGGAATTTACTCCATGACAATTGCAAAAAACGTTATACGCTTCATAAAGATATTCTTTTAGTTTCAGGTATCAATTCTTGGTTTGCATGACAAGATAATCGTTAATAGATTTATGTTTAATGATACAAATAAAACAGCGGACAGATTGTTCATCAAGACCGCAATCTAAGCCTTCATATTTGTTCTTTTGTAACAATCAAAGCAAGACGCTTTCGAGCTTCCCTGGGTCAACGGAGTGCGGAACCGAAAAATCCTTTCTTAATTGCGTAGCTCAGAAAAACAATGCGATTGCCGTTTTTCACCTACACATGGACACTAAGAAAGAAAGACAGAATTCAGATCCGTTTTTAGGGCGTTAGATGAAATAGGGCATGGGTATAAACAGAATACGAATTCCGATTTTGATCTAAGTGATAAAAATTGGAATAAAAAATGAAAATCGGGTGTTACAAATCTATATAGAGAAAAAATCAAAGATGTTAGAAAGTGCAAAAGAAATTGCGAAAAAGAAATCTGAATTTAATTTTCCTACTCTGTGCAAAATCAATTGCCATAGAGTTAGAAGGATCTATTAGTCTTCGTCTGACAAGGCCTGATTAACAAACATAATTTGACCCTGAGGGAGATACAAATTCATCATCGGTTCATTTATTCAGTCGGTTTCAAACCTAACATTAACGAGTTTGAAATAAAATGAAATTGATGCGACTATTCGACTGTGAAAGAGTTATTTCTCGAACGCCAAGTCGTTTTATTCATTTAATATTTCATTATGTTGTATTTTTATTGTCATTTTCAAGGAGCCTAAGGGCTTTTCATAAATCAGTCCTAAGAAAATCTCCCCAACCGCTGATTAAACTCGAGTTATCACTGATTTTTGTCTCAATATTTATTTTGGAAATCCAAATTTTGCTTTCTTTCGACATCGAAAAAGAAAAAGCGCTCGATGTAATTGGTCCATTTCTCGACAATATTATTATGCATAATGCTCGTATATCGTTAGTTACCGGAAGATTTCCTGACAGTGAAAAAAGCAATCACAAAAGACCTCTCAAAATACAAACAAGGATAAATGTTTCGATAAATTGTCGCTCGGCTCAAATATTCGTACTGCTTACTTCTGAATTGTCGAATATTACGTCGTGGTCGTTTCATGTGTTAACGTGAAAAAACGTGAAAAAGCGTGAAAATTAAAAACGTGAATGTGATAGCACCTTGGCTTAAAGGAAAACTGTTGTCCGTGGGATAATTTACATCAGTTTTGTGAACATATCAGCGTAAGAATCGATGAGATAAGTTTGTTACGGAACAGCCGCGACAGAATACGTCTTACAAAGGAACAGTGAATGACAACTGATGTTTTTTTCATAATAAGTTTGGCTGTGAGGAGCATTTGATATCTTGCTGAAACAAGAGGCATCGTGCCTTAATCTTCCCATAAATTTTTTCTAAGAATTGCTTTGTTTGCTGGCTAAGGGAAAAGCGAGAACTGACAAGCAAACCGAGACAAGTACCAGTTTCCTGATGGGAGGAAACTAGCGGTTTCCCAGACGTAAGCGTGAATAAACCTTTGAATAACAAGTTTTCGCCAACAGAAAGCCAAGTGGAACAAGATATTGAGACGAAAGGTTGAATAATGTTTGGAGATTGTTTTCCTTGTCTGTAAGTACTAGAAAATTTTATGTTTGCTGATAAAATAAAAACATCCGCTTTCAGGGCGCTGATAGCGCCGGTAGTAGCGCATCGCAAAACAGGATCGTTTCATTTGCATTGATATCGATATCATTTGATAAAGAGGAAAAAACTTACTTTAAGATTGAATTCAAAAGGCCTTAAATAATACTTGTTTAGATAACAAATTACAATTCGATTTCAAGAACTTGGATGAATTAATGTATCGACACAATTGGGAATATGTTAATTTAGCGAATTAGTGTACTGTATCCCCTCATTTTTCTGAATCAAAGACGATACTAACAGATTTGCTCGGCCTTCTCTGTTCTCATGTCGCCGTATTTTTTCATTGCTTTTATCCTTAAAGAATAACTTGTAAATTAAAGCAGGTTTTTATTTATTTGAAGGAAACTGTGGGAAAATTATGCGCAAAATTTGTGTAATTTTAATCTGATGGTCGAAATTAAGTCTGAAAAGTCAATGCGAGTGATGAAAGGCGGATGATAAGTATCAGAGTTTGTGTGCTAAATATTTTGAACAAATTCTTTATTGATCCATTTTTTCGATTTCATTTTTAGCATAAAAAACGATTGCGACTGAAACTGCTTTCAAAATAAGGCTAATGGCCTTTCTAACGATCACAAGGGTCCATCGCCTCCTTATGTTATTATTTAATATTGGATCACATTCGCTAATAATGCTCTCTCATTTCAAAGATAGTTGAAAATCTATGCTATTGGAAAAAGTACAATTGATAGAGGGGTCAAACTGTATAGGAAACAAATCAAACGGTTGTTCAGTGTTGTTCGCAACAAAAACAGAATCGCAACAATTTTGTAGTTTGTACCCAACTGACTTTAGGTTCAAAATTCATACAATACGTCCCTACAAAAGAAAGAATGAAAATCAGAATGTAACAAGAATTAATACCAAAATATTTCCGAAAGCAAATAGTTTTTAGCGATGTGGGATAACATAAGTCTTGTATTAGCGCTTTTCGATTTTGAAATTAAAACCGAAATAATCCGGGATTGCTTTGTTGTTGTTTTTGTACATTGTAATTGGTCCAGAAAACTCGCGCCGCTTTCTCAATTATTCAGGTGCAAAACTAAACCTGACCGCGACTTAGTCGCTGTCCGTGTTTTCCCGCGCTTCAGGCAGTTTGTTTGTTTTCACTTTCAGCTCTCATTTGCTCCTAGAGACTTTTACTTGGGGTAGAAGAGCACAGAAAACGTCATCACAATGAAATGTGCTGCATATATAATTATTCACCTTCGATTAACCTTGAAACGTAAAAATGTGTAATTTGGAGTTGTGCCCACATTTACTAGTTGTGTTATTTAGGTTATAAAAACTGGAATGTGTAAATATAAGCTGACTCACATCTATGTTAACTAGGTGGTATAGAAATGTGGAAATGTGGAAATATCTGGAAATATAACTATGAGTCTTCAGTTTACCCACATTTATATTAGCTTGGTAGTCTGGAAATGTGAAAACGTGGAAATCTGGAAATGTGCATATTAGTCTTAAGCTTACTCGCTTGTATCTTAACTCGTCCAGACTACTAAGTAAAGGTACATGTAAGTTAGCTTGAGACTTATCTGCACAATTCCAGATTTCCCCATTTCCACATAACCAGATTTTCCCGTTTTCAGACGACCAAGTTATGATAAATGTGGGTAAGCAAGAAACTTGTCTGCCTATTTTAAGGTTTCCGCATTTACTAATTTCCAGATTTCCACATTACTAGACTACCAAGTTAACATGCATGTGAGTTAGCTAATATTTACACTTATCAGTATTTTAAAGCTAAAAAATTTGAGTGGTTAAAGTGGGCGGTTCCAATCACACATTTTCACGTTTCAAGGTTACTCTGAGTTGGTAATTTCATGTGCAGCTCACTCCCTTGTGATGACGTGTTCTGTGCTCTTCTACCCGAAGTAAAGCCCTTTTAAAGGTATTTTCCTTTCTTTTGATCGGCTGATGTGATTTCTTTGGGTTTGGTTTTACGACATTCAATCGGAAAGCGCTTTAGATCAAAGGTAAAGTTGTAACTAAGTCGCGACTGCTTTAAGAGAAAATTCAGTACAGTTTTTTTGTCTACAATTTGATGATTGAATGCCCTTCAAGTAATAGAGAAAATTATCCGACAGAGGCTTTTGAACAAAGGGATAAAGAAACCTGGATTAAAATTTAACCTTGGTTTAGCGCTAACCAGCCTTTGAACAGCTGGAATAAGGATTGTATCAGTCAGTTACTTTAATTCGCTTCGTGATTGGTCTAAAATATTCGCGCCACCTTCTCACGCAACCAATGAGGTGTGGCCAATGTAGACTTACCGTGACTAGGTCAATTTCATTTTCACGTGATTCAGGCAGTTGGCTTGTTTTATTGGCTCCTACATTTTGCGAAAAATTAGTCCTGAAGATTTTTAGGTGAGACACGCAACGCGAAGATGAGCGTTCGTGAAAAATTATCGACAAAGGACCGATTGTCTTTTGAAAGAAAAATTTCGGCCGTTTTTCGGTAGGAAATGAATCTTATTTGATCATTTATTAACAGGACACACTGAGTCCGATATGGTTTGCTTCAGGTGTAGGGTGGATGTACCCTAATTTTTATAAAATAAAGCTAATGGTCAGCTTCGAAGGGTCATATTTTGGAAACTTAACTTTGAATTCAAAAGTTTTACAGACTCTTCATACGAGTCCGCAGTAGCCAGGTTGGCTTGGTCTGCGGAACGACTCAAGTTTGTCGTCTACTACCTTGGCAACACTATTGCACCAGTGCTCTTTCACTGAGCTAATATTTCAAAAACGTAACTCTGTCTTCACAACGGAAATTCTCTCTAGCTAGCTGTCATAATCAATACACGATCTACCAAGTTTCAATTTTGTTTTGTTTTGTTTTTTAATCAACCTTGTGGAAGCAGTTTGAATTTAGAACTTAATCGTATTTTGTAAGACGCCGTGACATTCTCGGCACATTTCATGGGTGACAAGCATACCCAAATTTCTTCTTCATATCAGTCAATCTTTTTTGCTTCAGTTGACTGCGAAAATCATCAGTCAGCAGTTCGGTTCTTCAATTATTTTATTTAGCAGGACACAGAGATTTATGGGAAATAAATTTTAAAACTCTTATTTACTTCCTTTTTGTGAAATCAATCGAAAATTTCTCAACAGAGGGTTGCCTCTGTGAAAGAAATATCTGAATATCTATTTAGCTTAAATATCAATTTCACGAAGTCCAATCTTCTTCACTTTGTTTATACATACAAATATGTTCTTTAATGGAAATTATCAATTCACTTTGAAGGTTTTCAGTTATCAATTACGCGTTTCCTTCACGCAGTTTCTTTGAGCATCTACAAAACAGGAGAATGAAATCGCGTTCGTGAAAGAGTTAGCAAAACTTCCAGCTCATTACTAGATCACAGGCCTGTATTTTTTTTATAGATTACGTTGGTAAACATTTTATAAAATTTTCTCTTTTGTTTTGGCATGACCGACATAATAAACTTCTTTACGCAGTGAATATTCATGCTAAGCATAACTATTTCCTTTTCAAACCCGATTATTCTAAATTATTAATCGCTACTTGCCAAATTTTCCATTAAACTCGAAAGCTTGTTTTGATCAATTCGACAACAGAAAAGGAAATGTTTATTTATCACATACAAAAACTTCCTTCAAAAAGTCACGATTTCGAGAAGGTGCTTCCTTCCAAAACTTGCAATAATGTATAAAATTGTTTTAATGATTTGAAACTTATCTGCTTGTTAATATTACCAAAAAAGGACTTGTTTAAAATCGCCTCAAGGGCAGGAAAGATCATTATTTGCATTTTTGATCCACAAGAGAAAATTTGCACGATAGTTCAGTTCCTTTTGATCATTAAGAACTTTTTCTTTATGTCATGAAGGGAAATTACCTCAATTTGTGGACTGAGAATCAATGCAGAACCAAACCGATCGATACTCGCAGATGAAAGCGAAATACGATTTTGATAAACCTACATTTCTTAATATGAATTCGATAGTTTCTGAAAATATGACAAGAGAAAGTTGGCGTTTCTGGGAAAACCTATTGTACGGTTGAGATCAAAATTTTAATGATCTCACACCTATAACCACCTGCCAGATCGCGAGTCACCATAACAACTCTTTCTTATGACAATTTTATCTGCTGTGTTCTTATCGCTGTGGTGGTTTTTTTGTCAACTTGTTGCTTTGACGAGCGCTTTTGTGATGAACCATGGGTTTCCAAAAAACCTTGCGCCTCAAAGGAAAAACAACTTACGGTTGGATGCGGTTGTTAAAAGGTGAAATGTTTGCAAGTGCATTCCGCGAAATTGCTTATGGTTTAATTTTTTAAGCCGAAGACCATCTGCTATTAAACCATCTGTTTTGGAATATTCCTGTCTGCCAAATGCAGAATCCCGTCGCTGTTTATTCTCTGGGAGAAAAACAAGCTGAAGAATAGTGCACGGCAGCGACAAAGAAGAATTTCAGTGTGTAGTTTAACTTTTCCAAAAGAGGCGATAGGCCAACATCTTTTGTCGGTTGAGAGTGTTCGCGATTCAATTGGTCAGACCACTGAACAACAAATCAAGAAAAATTGCCACATGTGGCATAAATGATTGCTAAACATAACCGCACTTTATAAACGCTTTTAGAAGTTTCTTTGACCGGGTTTAATAAATTCGCTGGTAGATTGATTTCCATCCCGCATTGACGTATGCAAATTAGCTTGTTGCGTATTGTCTTCGTACGAAAACAGCCCAGACCATTACAAGTAACCAACTCAGCGCAGTTTCTGATCCATGGCGCGGTGTTTCGAAATCTGCTGAACTATAACGCGATAATTTGCTTTTTTCACGCTCCGCAGGGCTGCGACAAGTATCGGAAGCAATGTACGAGGTAGTGTTCACACAATAGCCGATAAATCAATGGCGTTGTGGGATAAAGTTCGGAAGCGATTGGGAAATTCGGAGAACTCGGCTGGATGCAGTTGTGGTCGAGAATACCCAAATAGTGAAAGTGTTTTTTACGAAGATTACTTCACGAGGTAAGCGGCAACGGTAATTGTTGGGTAAAGTTTACGGAAGTTACGGTTTTGTAGGTTTTTAGGTTACAACTGGTGGTAAAACACGCTCGGTTTCGAAAATGTCGAGTGGTTTTAAATATTTGAAAGTAATTTGGAGGTTCTTTAAAGCTCGTTAGTTTGTTGGTAATCCATCAAACGAGAGGTGGCAGTTTCTAGTTCAGTACGAGGGAGTGAAAATGGCGTTTTTACGCGGGCCATGATAACAAAGCAGTAACTTAACTGGAATTTCCCCCTTGAAACGGCAAATTCGATTCATTGAATCGTAATGGACGACCATTTCCGGTGTGAGATCAGAAGTGAAGGTTTTTTTGAATAATTTTATTCCGTGTTCGTAAAGGAGAAAGCTGTCGCAGAATTTACTTTTACGCGCATTAATATTTCCGCCATGGGCCGAGGTCAAAGAAGAGAAGAATAGAAAGGCGCGCCTAGGACTGGGCCCAAGAGCTTTACTTATTTACAAAATGGCGGAGCTTTCATACAACTCAAGTTCTGGATTAGAGCCCCATACAATTCCTTTGAAAGAGAGGTAAAGCCTACATGGTTTAATTCAAAATTTCCGTTGGATGTTTTCTGCCATTTTCTTTATTTTACAACTTTTGTATTAAGGCCAAGAATAGTGCGGTAAAACTCAAAAGTTTATTGACCATTATTGACGCCGTTAAAAAAACAGCTGGTTTAGTGTTTTAGCAAGTTTTCTGCTAATTCAACTTAAAATTTCTCATTTTTCTTGAAGATGTGGGGAAGATTTAATGGGAAAATTTGGTACTGTATCTTCAAGATTGATCTTGTCACCAGTTTAGCGGCCTGTTAATTTGTAAGGTTACATATCTAGCTTTCAAGAATAATCCGTGGGGTTTATCAATTTGTTTTGACAATATTATTGATATCACTGATCAAATATTGAGATTTCTTGAGGTAGATTTTAGATTAACAGACCTAAGAACACTGGATTTATGAAGTTTTTGCCTACTTTCACAATTTCCCTTTGGAAAAAAATGTTATGTCTCATCTGCATTCTTGTTTTGATATTTGCTATGGTAAATATATTTCACTTTCCTCGAAAGAAGAATTTTTTTACGGTCGGAGAATTTCATAGTGTATGATAGGGCATTAGATTAATTATCTGAGGATTATTTAAGCAAGTGAAATGCTTTGCTTAGTAGTGATAGGTACATATAGAATGTGTCTAGACACAAAACAATTTACCCCCACCTTTATAAGTCTGGGGTTGATTTGATGTATGATGTACAATCCAAAATAATTATGACATTCTGAAATGCAGTGTATGATAGAAATCTGTAATGATGATAGAAATAAGGAAATTAAATGTAACCAAAATCACATAAGTTTTTTTAAGATCTATTATTAATTATTGATGGTGCATGCCGCAGATGTTTGAATGAATGTCTTATTTTTCCTTGAAGGTCAAAGTGTGTTTATGAACCCAAATTGAAATTTGAGATAGAACCAAAATTTTTACATTGGCTATTCAATATTAAACATATTTAAAGTTGTAGGAAAAAATCCTTCAGATTTCTTTTAAAAACTGGAGATGTGGTAATTGTGTATTTAAATAGAATAAATTAGTCTTCTTGGCCTCAGGAACAGGTATTAAAAAAAGGATGATTTTCGCTTAAAAATGTGGCCTATTCAAATTAACCCTTTAACTCACAGTAGTGACCAAGACAGAATTTCTCCTTATGATATCAATACAATATCAAGCAGACAAGTGATGAGAATAAAGAGAAATATCAGTAAGAGGATTATCAGTTAATCCAATACCAAATTCTCAAAACTAATATCAAAAGAGTTGTATGGTAGATAGTAAGGAGAATTACTAATGAGATCTAAGGAGTTAAAGGATTAATATGGTCACTAATTTGTAAGTTGAGATTCAGTAAGCTTGGGTTGCAGTTCAGTGTTAACTGGTGAGGAAAAGAGTTTATACTGTCTTAATTACTTACAGTTGCAACACACTGTTCCATAATTACGATATCAATAAAATTCTTTAAGGGGTTATGTCACTAATATTGTAATACACAACTTTGAATTTGATGACAAATTTAATTTTAGTTAATAATATATTAATTTCTCATCGCTTTATTAATCCACAGTTTAATTTGTTTCATTTTTCACTTTTTCCATTAGATTCTCCTTGCTCCTGTTAGAGCCTGGAGAGATCTACTTTGAAGATTTTAGTGTTTTTCATTACCCAAATCAATTTTCTGAAGAGGAGGCAATAAAAAGGTACACATGTATGTATTTGATGGGTTAAACTCTCTTACAGTGGAGTTACACAGGTCAGGTAGTTTAAGAGTCAGCTTAGCAACCTCAACTGATTTGTATTGTATTTTATTCACCATAGTGATCAAAACGTAAGTCATTAAGATGCTGCTCCTTGATTGGTTGCAATCTGTAACAGGTCATCCTTCCACTATTTTGTCGGGCTTTGATGACAGTTTGTTGATTCATTTATTATCATGGAAGGAGAAAGGCACTTTGATAGTTTCTTGCCTAGGGATATATCACTGTAAGCTTGGTAAGGCTTCACTACATCTCCCACAAGGGTTTCTTCAGTAGAACTGTTTATTCAAATCCTTGATTCCCCTTAGATAGCTGTCATTATTATATGATTATTAATTTAGAATTATAGAATGGAATAGAATACAGTTGTTTATCACTCAGACATGATGTCTGGATGAGACAATAGGTCTCAGATAGCATTCATTGTAAGGAAAACATGGTAATTATCACGACAATGTGCTATTTGGTTTAATTATTTACTGAAGTATTGTCATCTTTGAATGTTTTTTTTAAGGAAACAAAGAGGAAGATTAAAGATATGTTCCAAGTCTATTCTTTTTGATCCCATAGATACATCTTACCCAATTTTAAAGGTATACATTTAGTTAAAGTTATCTCTGGTTTTGAAGTTTATAAGTTTTCTGTAAGTTTTCTCACCTGTGCTAGGCTTGATTTGTATTGATTGCATGTTTGTGATAATCATTTCATGGCTACCCAAAAAAATTACATAAAAATATGGTCAGGTGCCTAGGCTGTTTTATATGCCAAGGATAATGTTATTTAACAACCCTCAATTCTTTAAGTGTTGGTTTGAAACTACATATAACTGGTTTCCTTTGGTTTTCCCGACTTTACCTTAATTTTCAACTGTGTGTTTAGTTTCCTCTCAGAGAATGTAATGCAATAACTCATTGGTCTGGATCTCTCATGTCAAGGTGAGTTGACATTGCCAGGGAAAGACATCTTTTTTTGAAGAAGATAGAAAGAATTAAGATTGTTTTGTCTCCAACAGAATTGATACCAAAGGAGATGTTCTGGCAATTGAGTCCAAGCAGGTCATAGAAATGAAGGAAGGCAACACAATAGCACCTTATACATTTAGAAGAGTGAGTACCACATCTCTTAATATGTGAAGATCTCACTTGTTAGAGCAAACTGATCTTGAATGAATTAATCTGTGATTTACTGTTTTTTTCTCTTCTTATAGGAAAAAGCCAAGTATTTATTTTCGTTCAATTTTGTAGCTTTAAATTTTGTATTACCCCAGTTAGAACAGGTGGGTTGTCTCCTTTTCACAATGATAATTTTTATTCTGAATTGTCTATTACTAAGTGAAAGTACATACAACAATGAATTTCTTTACTATCTCTATTTTTTCAAGGTGATTATTTTGTTATTTTATTAGCAGTAATTTTAATGGATAATTATTTGTTGTCCTTTCTAACAGCTTCACAGAGCAACTACTCTCATGCCAGCTGATCAACAAGCTATGGTGAGTCTGAGTTAACTTTATGTTAGATTAGTTATTAGGGAGGCTGTTTCTTGTTCACTACAATGAACTGGAATCCCATACAATGTTTTAATACCAAGTGGTCTTAACTACTAAAAAGTATTGGTAGCTGTTTATAACAATTTTGTAGTAGAGTACTGTTAAATCTGTGTAATAAAATTCTGATCAACTCCTCTTTACTTAGATCAATTCAATTGTTCAATCAAGACAGGCAAGAGTTAGTTTTAACACAAGTTGGTGAGTGAATTTTAATTATTGGTAATGTTATAATTTTGATGCTCAATGAGTTCGCTTGAAAATTCTGAAAGGTATCTGATGAGTCTGTGGGTAATGATGAATGACTACATGTGAACATAACCTCTTCTAAACACTTTGGGGTAGGGGTGGGGCTGGGGGGCTAGGGGACTGGGGGGCTGGAGGGCTGGAGGCCTGGAGTGCTGGGGGGCTGGAGGGCTGGAGGGCTGGAGGGCTGGGGGGCTGGGGGGCTGGAAGGCTGGAGGGCTGGGGGGCTGGGACAATTGTTTATATAAGGCTTTGTAAATGCCAAAGAACTCTATTCTTGCTTAAATGCTGAATGTTGTAATAATTCAAGTGAACCATAATTACTTTGTAAATGTTACATTTTTGGCTTTTAAAGGTTAGAAGATTTACATGAGAAAATTGTGATGGAAACAATGGGTAAGTCAGTCAGCATCTGCTGTTAGTAGTAAAACCACCTGATTATTTTTTAGATATGATGTTAAAAAAATAGGATAAGAGGAAATATTGATGCTGGCCAAGGCAACATCATCTTTATCTAAGCTACAATGCAAAAGACTAGTTTTTCATAAAACTTAAAATCAACTGGTTGAAGATTCAAAGGTTTTCAATTCTGCATTTCACACTATAATTACAATGTGCCTATGAATGAAGTTAAAATAGCATATATAGTAAAGAAAATGGAAGAAAATTTACTTGAAACAAGAGAAAAAGGAGAGGTGAATAGTAGAAAATGTTGTATCAAATGACAGTTTCTTTGGAAAAGGTTGCTATTTGAAATAAAAAGAATGAAATAGATGTCTGAGATTTACAATGGACTGAGATTTATATTTTAGCCCTCCCCATACTTATCCAACTCCTTTGAAAACTCAGTGCTGATTTTTTCCTTTGTCTGTTATTTCAGCAAAACGAATCACCCCTCTTGTTTGCAACCCAGGCCGCATCATGTTAACTTCTTCCAGACTATACTTTCAGCCATTTAACAATGCTGACCCAGTAAGTTCTTCCAGCTGTTCATTACAACAATGTTGTTTTACTTTGAATATGGTAATCACATCGGGAACATCTTGTCTGAATACTTAAATGAAAGGTTTAGTTCAAGAACAAGAACAACAATAACAAATCAAATAACAAATTTCAAAACTCTTCTTTCTCTAACCAGCGCAATTCTAGACTTCTTGTCTGACTTGGATATATGATTGCTCTTAAAATCAAAATTTTGTTTACTTTCAGTGCCCAGTTGTGAAATGCAAATTATCTAAAATCTGTAGAGTTGTCAAACGGAGATATCTTCTCAGGCATGTGGTGGGTATATCATCTTTACATTGAATTTCTCTGAACGTTACAATGGGGTATGTTCCTTGCAAAGAAATGTGCATGATATATGCTATGAATGTGGGCAATTAAACTGTCAACTGTTTCATCTACAATGCTAAATGACTTGCCCATTTCCTGATAAACATTTTGGTTAAGTTTTTATAAATTTTATGATTGTGAAGCACAAACAGAGTGCAAGGTTGATGCAGATTAAGTTGTCTTCAAAAGTAATACATATTTTGTTGACATCATTGTAATTATCTTTCCATGTTTATCTTATGCTCAACAATGTTTCTCCAAATTTATTTTATTTTTTTCCAGGGGGTTGAGGTGTTTTCAGCAGATGGTTCTCATATGTATCTGATATTCAACTCTCCAACAGAGAGGGATTTGTTTTATGACAAAATTATTCAGCAACCAGGTTCAGTGATCACTTTTTTATATTAAACATTAGCCTAAAAATTCATTAGTCTACTTCACAGACGTTGTTTGACTAGCGTCTTGCGTTACAAGGTTACTGCGTGACGAACTTGTTGCGTGATTACTTTCAACAGCTGCCTCTCATTGCTCTTGGCCCGGCATGCATCAGCGTAAAGTCATTGGCACCCATTTGTCTAGGATAAGGTCTTTTCAACTAAGTTAGAAAATGAAGTTAAGGTTGTAAACATACCTGAAGCCATTCTATTTTACTTTCAACCAAAACCTTAGCTAAGGTTTGAGGAAGTTTACCCACAGGTATCATAAAAGATTGCCAAGAAGCCAAGAACAAGGTCAACAGCTCACCAACTGATGCGCCTCTTTTTTTTTACAGAAGTTGAATTAGAAGACACGAGACAGGAGAACATGACGTTAAGATGGCAGAATGGAGCGATCTCAAATTTTGAATATTTAATGTACCTAAATAGGTTAGTGTCAAATTAGTGTCATAAACTTTGAATAAGTTGTCGAGCTTTGTGTAATTTAATGTTGTATACCGTAATTAAAATACTCCGTGCGATTAAAATACTTCTTGGAAAGAACTCTCTTAGTGACCTGCCACGAACCTTAAATCACCATAATTTTAGTTTAAATAGTTTCATGTATGTCTTTTGTGTGTATTCGTTTGTATAGCTTCTTTATTCATTTTTGTATATCACTCTTGCACTTGTATATTTAGGAATCAGGTTATTAAAACCTCGAGTCTTAAATGGTAAAACGTATCTCTACTTTACTTTCCCCTCTTTTCCCACATTGACCGCCTTTTCCCGCTCTTGAGGCCGTTGACATCTATTCACTAGAGTTCTCATTGGCTTCCTTTGATTTGTTTCCCTGTTCTGATTGGTCATTGTCATTATCTTAGCTTTATCAAACTCGTTGAAAGTCTTTAAGTGACTCGTTCAATAGTCACTCGGTTAGTAATTTACCACAATTTCTTTTAGTTTAGCAGATAGAAGTTTCAATGATCTCACACAATATCCAGTATTTCCTTGGGTTATATCAGACTACAAGAGTGCAGAGCTTGGTATGTTTTCAGCTCTATTAGTTAGAGATGCAGTTTACGCCACTACAAATATTTTCGAGATCGACGCGTAACAGATCTCTTTTGTAAGTTTGTGTGAGCCAAGCTGCAAGTCGCCCTTTGACAGCTTTCTAACTACTACACCATTTCTGTTCGCTTGTTTTGCTTAATATTATTATATAGTAAGTGGTTCCGTCTTTTAGGATAAAAGTTGTTATTGTAGCTCTTTAAACTACTTTCACCGAATTAAACTTAGAACGCATCTGTGTTGTTTTAATATCCAAACATTTCAACCTTAAATCCCTTATCGAACGTAACTGAAGCAATCAAGGCAGTTCAAATGTTTGACACATTCTCCTTTGCACAATCAAAAGTGATGTATACACATTAACCTGAATTGAATTCTGTCTTTAGATTTAGAGAAGGGAGAAACATTCCGAGAATTATCCAAACCAATAGGAGCTCTGAATGAAACAAGATTAGCTCAACTAAAGGTACAGTGTTGACATGCACTGAATCGATATCTTAAGGATACTGTATGGCCGCTTGGGGATATGAATTTTGCTATCTCGAGTTAGTATAGGTAACAACAAAAGTAAACCTGAGTAAATTTTTAAAAGACAACAAAATTGCACGAGTCCGTAGGGCAAGTGCAATTATTAGTCTTTGAAAAATTTACAAGTGCCTATTTACCCCAAATTGCACTCAAAGTCATTTTGTGACATGTTAATAATTTACATGATTATCGCATCATAGAAAGTCAAGACGGACGAAATTTCGGCAGCGCGCGCTATTTGTAATTTGCACTCGTTTTAAATGGAAAATGCATTCGTTTTCAGCCAATCAGACGCGCGTAATTTTTTCATGTTCTTTATTTATGATATTATTGAGAGATGCTGTCAGAATTTGTATCCTCAAGCGGCTAAGTAGTGTTCTTTTCATTGTGCAGAAGCAAACAAGCATCTGATGGAAGTATATGAAATGCACAACCCGAAGACCTTGTTTCTTTATGCAGTGATCATCTACAGGAAATGTTTTCAATTCATGAACGCACAGAACACTTTTCTTTTGGAAGAAAATTTAATATTTTGTCAATAACAGACGAATTTAAATTCTGTTATGTCGGTGAATTGAGCAAACTCTTCTTAAAAGCGCTCACGTCTTTACCTGATTGACATGACTACATAATATTCTAATACTGAGGTTGCAGTTGAAAAAATCATTCTTTATCGACAAACTAAAGTACTTGTTTTCTTTTGTTGCCTTTCGAAGTCGGCCCTGTTTATCAAGCGAGTGAGATGGTATCAATGTTTTAACTCATATTTTCAGGAGCGATGCAAAGAGATGCCTGATCCAAAGTTCTTGTACGGATCTCATTACTCCACCCCTGGATATGTGTTGTACTATCTTGTTAGAGTTGGTAAGTTTAGGCCGTAGGACGCTTTTCGCTTGAGAGTTGTAAAACCAAAACTGCTTAAAGCGCGGGAAAACGCGGGCGACCAAGTCGTGATTGATTTTCGTTTTACATCTGATTGGTTGAGAAATTGGCGTGAGTTTTCTGAACCAATCACAGAGAGTAGCAAAGCAAAAATCAAATGATTGGTTTTCAGCTTGAAGCGATGATAAACGAGAGCAGATTACAGTTGACTTGATTTTGTCAGAAATTGATGATAGTTAGGCGTAAAAGTACTTATAAAGGCCTTGTTTCTTTTCACAGCTCCCGAATTTATGCTCTGCCTACAGGGAGGAAAATTTGATCAACCAGACAGATTATTTAACAGGTGCATAAATAAAACAATTTCTTATTTAATAAGTCCATTTTGGTGTAGGCGGTATGATTTTACTAAAGAGTTGAGTGAGGCAATTTTGAAATATGTGATGATGGACTTCAACATAAGTCAAATCTCTGGTGGGAGTTGAACGTGCACTATCTTCAAAAGGAAGGTACAGGGTGGTTTGAAACGGGATTAGTACTTGGGAGAGACGCCAAAGCTAAACGTCGAACGTTCGCCTTTTGAGCTTCGCGTACGGATGAGTATTTTCGAGAAAAAAGAAAAAATGCTAACTCAGTATTTGCACTCTACAGAGATGTATGTGTTCTGTCAGACATGGCACCATAGTTGTAAGGGTAGTCCAAACAATGTCGATGGCAACTACATTCACATGTAGACCGTAGTCTCTTATCATCATTTGTAACACTCACTGCTGTGTTGTTTTGTGGAATTACAGTATTGCTGAAACGTGGGAGAATGTTTTGACGGGACATGCAGATGTCAAAGAGGTTTGTGCCAGTTCAGTGAATTAATTGATTCCCCTCCCTCCCTCCCCCTCCTCCTTAAACCCTCATTTTTAAATTAATGCCTTTTCTTTAAAAGTAGCACTCTTAAGAAATATGTTAACGAATTGGAAACTAATCTTAAGGTAGGCTTGCTCAGTAAAGATGTTTAACCTTTTGCCATATGCGTGCGATCAAGAAAACTGATTCAGGTATGAAAAGCCAGTAGGGACGAGCACCATGCTACTGTCACACGAGAGGGAAAGAGCGCGGCAAAATGAAGCGTTTTCCGCGCTCCTGGTTCATCTCGCGCCTGACTTGCCTCGCTCTATAAATGATGATATAAAGATTTCAAAGAATAATGAAATAAAACAAAACAATTGAATAAAGAACATATACGATAAAACGACATTCTACTAGCGAGTAAAGAGAAGTGTCATACATTTCCTATTTGGAGTTGTTGTTTTAGTTCTGAAAAATGTTTCACCGGAGAAACTTGTTTTTTTCATTTCAAACAGTTGATTCCAGAATTTTTCCATTCATCTGGCGAATTTTTGTTAAACAGTCAAAGTTTGCCATTGGGCTGCAAACAGGACAAGACAAAAGTCATGGATGTTGAGCTTCCAGCCTGGGCCAAAGGTGGGACGAAATTAATGAACAACTTAGCTCTCATTATATGTATCTGTATACTTTTCAGCAAACAGGTGTTGGTAATTAAGAAAATAAGCACTCGGAACAAAATTTCCTGATTAATCAACAAATTCTCAGCACTAGTCGTAAGAGAGATTTATAGACGCAGGTAAGGGGAATTCAGTAATGTTAGTGCCTCTTTCTGAAAGGTTTCAGACGTAGCAGACTGTAATACACCATGTCGCTATAGACTAGTGAGAGCCCAAGTTATACTTGAAATCACAAGCGACAGCAGATTTGTACCAATTGAGATACAGCTGCAATTCGACTGGTGAAGTTTTCTTTGAAAGTTTCTTCTTGACAAGTATCCCTTGGCAAAGTAGATGAAATGATGTAAAAGTTTATTCCTCGACTGACCTTGACAACTGACTCGTCTGTTTGAACTATGAGACTAGCAAACAAAAAACTTGTCAACAACGAAATTTGCTGGTCTATGACTTGAAAATATTTCCCTGAGCTCTTGGTTTTTGCATACAGCGAACAAATTTTCTTCGACAAGTGAGACTTTGTATATCATTAAATTTGGCGTTGGTCTTACTTTATTATAGAAGTAAATGAATAGCATTGGATTTATAATACACTAACTTGCTTTTTTTATATTTTCACGTGGATTAGATCCGGGGGATTTCATTCGGAAGAATCGTGAGGCTCTTGAGTGCCCGTATGTCTCCGAAAAACTTCACAACTGGATCGACTTGATATTTGGATATAAACAAAGAGGACATGATGCGTGGCAAGCAGACAATGGTAACAGTTTATGTTGCATCTCGCTCTCAGTGGACTCAGACTTTGCTCTCTGTTTCGATTACTTAGTTCAAAGAAACTTTAACCAAAAGCGCCTAATTTCTTATTTAAACTGTTACTAATAAAAAGTGTTATTTTTTTACCTCTCTTCTCAGTGTTTTACTATTTGACGTACGAGGGAGCTGTTGACTTAGAAAAGTAAGATGAAAACGTTCTTTGCACAGCTTTCGCTAAATTACTGCTTGCAATTTTCTGATGATGACCCGTTCATGATAGAACTTACTCTTCCCTCATTATTAAGGATCGAGGATCCAAACGAGCGGGCGTCTTTAGAAGCTCAGATCCTGGAATTTGGACAGACTCCCAAACAGCTGTTTACAAGTCCTCATCCACAGAAACTGGTAAAATTTTATCAAAGTCATGTAAGGGTAAACTGTAGCAAAAAACATCATGTTTCGTTCAGTTCAATATATATCCAAAACGCGCAGCCGAGCCTCTCTTCCCTTGCGATGTCGATCGATAAATTGAAGTCGGAAGTATTTTCTATGTTTCCAGGCCACTTGAGTATGCTTGCACAGCGTGTATGAAGTTGTTGTAAATATACATGGTCCAACTGACCAAACACCTCTTACCTTTCAACACCCCCCTTTCCCCCCCGGCTAATCGCTTCTACTTTACATCAGGTCAACTCATTCAGGGAAAAATTAGGATTACATAATGAGAACCATCCTTCTAGAAAATCCCCGACAATGAAAACTGAAAGTACATGTTTCACCAAGTCACTAAGAAGATAAACTTTATTTACTGTAGGTGACTGGAGCCAGTCCTAGCCCCAGTACAGACCCGACACCCATCAGTAGCAGTGTGTTGAATGGAGAGAATCCTAGCGAACCAGACTCTAAAAGTCCTGGCAGTGTGCCAGTAATTAAAGTTAATGGTATGCGTAACTAATTTCCTCGACTTATGGCTTTTTGAACGCAAAGCTCATTTAATTGCGGGTGCACTACTGATTTTATGTTTTGTTTTGAGTTTTAATGACAGAGTTTTACTCTTTAACGACGAACTATGGGGGCTAAACTCCTTGGTATAGTTATTGAAAACATATCCAACAATGTGTTAAAAAAACACCACTTTTTGCCAGTTCAGACGTGAACGCAGCACCTCTACTCCTCCCTCTATCAATATTGGTAAAACTAAACAATCACCACGTCTTGGTTAAGTTTACGAAGCGCACTAAGGGGAGGGAGGGGGGGGGAGAACAGGCAACACTTTTCCGTCATCCCCACTCTATTCTCTGTCGCACAGACGCATATGCAGAGCATGCTGGGTGTTGAGTTGAAGAAAATACACTTTTTCTTTCAGTTGACTTTGATGAAATGTTCAGCAATAATCATTCACAGTGGACTAACATGGAGAAACTTCAGCAGGCAACGTGCCACAAATTACACAAAGAGTGAGAATAATTGTGTAATATGGAGAAACATGTAACGTGATGTGTAAAGTGTTGTTAGCGAGAAGGCAGTGGATAATGTGTACATTACAGATTGGCGATTCTAAATGAGTGATAGGCATTCGACCCTCTTTCCTTTATTCTAACATTTCTTCGTTTCTTTGGAGAACTTTCGGCTTATCTGGTATAGCCAAGCCCCTCTTCACCGGTAGGACCTGCCCAGTTTGTGGCCAGAGGAAATTCTCATGCTCTCTCTGATCTACAAAACAACTTGTCCCCATACCCTTTGTTTGTTGTGATATTTCTTAAAAATTCCTTTCTATAGTGGAGCTGTCACAAGTTTGCGTAATTGTGGTAATTTTAAGAAAAATTCTCATCCAAAACCAGTGGTTACTTTTCAGGCTATTTCCCTTCTTAGGGAGAAACCATTTTTTTAAATCTGATTTTGACTATTTTCAAGCATTTTTAAATTTCATATGTCATAAACTCTATAACTCGGTTATAACATTGAAAATCTAACAGGATTGGTGTCCATGCAAAATGTTATTGAAAATGTGACGAAAACCTAAATTTGTCCTTAAACTGTCTCAGTGCACGAAATATCCATTTTCGTTAAACAAAACAAGCAAATAATAAGCCAACAAATAGAAAACAACCATTTAATACTTAAGCTGGTTGATTTGAATCCTAAACCGCGTTTTCATCATCTTAATTTTTTTTTTCACTCGAGGGAATAAGTGTCTGAGTGATAAATATAAATACAGTAACCGAGTTTGATTTAAAATAATGACAAGAAAAACGTTTGAGCCTGCAATAAACTCTGTCGGCGACGAGGTACTTATTCCCTCGAGTTATAGGATGTCTGAGGGGCACTGTGCGTATGTTAACCTCGTGTGTCCTATGTAGGGAATCTTCATCTTGTTCTGTGAATGTCAATATAACCAACAGTCAACTCACGCAACACAGAAGGTAAACTTTTGTTTTAAAAGCTGCTGAACATAGAAATGCATGAAATACATCCAGTCGTGAATGCTAAACAGAATATTAAACTCCAAATGAGCTATATCGACATTAGTCTAAAGTTAACCTGTCTTCAAACAAACGCCCACCGTGAGTTTGGTTTTTTTGCTTCTAAACAATACGTGGGTCACTGCTCCTTGTTAATCTCTGGCTTGTAACAGACAAACTATTTATGACGGGAAATAAATTCAAGCGCAATAAATCGCGGAAAGATAAAAAGTTTGTACAGCAAAGATTGCCGAAATTGAAAACATTCCTGTGCGCTAACTATGAAAACTCACCACTTTTCGAATTTTTACCAAATTGCCAAAAGATAACGCGGTATAGGCTGAATTTAAAATTCCTAAATAGTTTCCTGCAGCATCAACACAAGCTCTTTTCATTTTTTCTTCTTTCTTCTTGGAGTAATGTTTGATTAATTGAGCACTCTAACTTTCCTGCTGTATGAGACATAGATTACACTCGGTTGATCATATGTCAAGCATTAATTTCACACCAGAATTGAATCTCTACCGCGCACTCGGGAACACACACACTCTCTTATGTCTGGCTTCTCAGTACTATTGCTTTTGTTTGATCATAGCCTCCTCAAACAAGTCTCTTGAACTCGCTTTGTGTGCGGACTCTCGTTCTCTTACATGCTCCAATTAAGTTCCTTCACGTTGAACTCATCTTATTGCTCACGTGTTCGTTCTCACCTTCAACTTTAAAACGTTCACTTTTAGAAATTACAATAACTCTTGCGTAAGTAATTATACCGCTCATTTTACTGTTTTGGTGAATCCCTGTTGTTCTAGTAAATCCCAGACAGGGGTCAGTACAATTGGGGATTTCTCTTAACAGCAGCCACCGGGTGCAAAGCCTGCAATCAGAGTCCCTCGCTTTTATCGGGGATAGCAAGTTTTTTGTTCTGTTTTTGATTAACATCCTTGTAAAGTTCTTCCGGTTTCATATTTTTCTAATGCCATATGCGTTACTTCTTTTCAGCACGGTTACATCAGTGAGACTATCAAAGGACTGTAAAAATGTCTTTTCTGTTTCTCAAGGTAAATTAGAAACATTGCTGCTAGAGAAATAAAGAGGGCAGTTTCCCAACCAACAAAAACGAGCCCAAACCCAGCAGAGAGTAACTGCTCTTAGTCTTAATTAATGTGGTTGTTTGCGATCGACGGGTAATAAGCCAGTTCTGATAGTTTACCTCGAATCGCTCGGTAAATTAGATTCGTCAATGGAACATGTTTGAGGTAAACGCTTTGCTGAAGAGAAGCCAGATTGCTTGCAAAAGATTATCGCTAATAGCGACTCAAATTTTCTCCTTATTTTGCTTTGTGTTTCTGTTATGTCCCGTTAACTCAGTGAACGCTTGGAACAGGATCCTCATATAGTATCCTTATATGACAGAAAATTCTCCAAACTAATTTACAAGCGGCCCCTTAGGGAGAAGAATTACGCTCTGAGCTTGGGGATTTAAGGCGTAACTGCGACTCTCTCTATATTTACAATTGGTGGTATCTCGCTCCTCAGATACACAACTGAAGATGTACTCATTAGAAACCAAACAGCAAGTTCGTGGAATCAATCTATCGTCAATGGTAAGTGTATCTTCGGCAGCGTCATTTGTTTTCTTTTTCAATAGTTTAACTACAAGCCGGGGCTTGCTAGTGTAGTCAGCATTCTTATGTTTTTGATTACATGTCTCGGGGAGCCTAACACGAGCCTCCTATTGTGGGAGACTGGACCCGAACGTAGTAGAGTTTTGATTGACACTGCACGCGAGTGCAGTCATGTCGCTTTTGAGGGAGTTTTTTTCTTTGGAAAAAGTGTGAGAGAACAAAAGAAAAAAAAACGATTGTGTTTATAGAAAGAAAACCAGTGATTTTGACTTCGGGATACTAAACTTCTATTGCTACGGAGGTATTCCGGAAACTATGACTCGGTGCTTGACCGTCTGAAATACGAATCAGAAGGTCGTAGGTTCGACTCTTAGAGGGAGCACTCGCAGATCTTTTTGTCCGAGTATGCCTGTGCCATTCACATCATCTTTCAACTGCGGGAATTGTTTCTGTAATTTGATCGGCATGAAATATGTCGCACGTCTGAGATCAGAAAGTTTGACTATGTCGTCGTTGTAGCCTCAATGATAATTTCCTGCTATAACCGGGACTATTTTACTATAATTGATTGTTGAAAAGGTTAATTCCTTTGACAGGCGCTTTCGTCTTGTGCCATTATGCCGGACTCAAAAACGATCATAGTTGGATCGTGGGATAACAAAATGTGAGTAACACGCTTAATTTGCTGTTTCCTTTATGTTTCTAAGAATTTTTTAGGGGTTTCACCCTACTTCTCCTTCAAGTTTACACCATGCTCTGAAAGTAGCTCTCTATTGTTAAAAGAGCTTTCGCATTTTGGTAAAATGAAGAAAGAAAATTTTGTTTACGTAAGTTGCAAATCTTTGCAGTTTCGCTGAATGTAGGCGCGCAAAGATAAGACTCGAGGCTCAGCGCCTGTTTTATTCAACTTGCGTTCAAGGTTGCTTTAGCGCCTGCTTACCAGGGCAGCGGATAGAAAGACACTGAATACCCAACAGTTTTTAGCGATCGCTCTGGAGTGTTAATTTAACAACATTCTTTGTGTTTTTAGCTACATTTACTCTGTTGAATATGGAAGAGTTGTGGACACCAAAGCGGGACATGACGATGCAAGTAAGGATTAGCTACAAGAACTGAATATAATCATTTTAAACTACGTTTTGAAAATAATCCAGAATTTGTTTTTAACTCTACTCAGATTGATTTGTCTGGGAAGCTCGCGCTAAACTTCCCCACCAATAAATTATTAAACCAAGCCCAACACCGACTTGGTCTCACGAGTTTTCCCGCCCTTCTTCACATGTATTGACTTGAGGATTTTGCTTTTTCTGCCGATTGGTGGTTACGATTACTTTGGTTTTGGTTTTTCGACGGAACAATGCGATTTAGGGAAGTACCTGCATAAAGATAACCGAGGCATTAGCCAAGTGGTAATAACTCACGCTACATATTTCCAAATCTTCAGCTTGACAGTCTTTTTGGGCCGGACACGAGATCATATTTTGGGACTTATGTCGTTGATAACGGGACGGACACTGTAGAACGTGTTTTGTGATGAGAAATGAAGTGAAAAACATTGAATTTTAATATTCTCCCTCGTTCCTTAGTTTCATGTTTGTGCTGGAATGATGGTATCTTGGTGACTGCTTCGTGGGATTCTACAGTCAAGGTAAGCTTGACTTTTTCAGTGGCTACGTTAGGATTCATTAAATCAACTTTTTACGAAAGGTAAATGACGAACAATGTTTTAAAAAGTATTGTTCCCCTCCTGTCTCCTTCAATCCGGAAACCAACGAGTTTTCATGCAGCAGAGAAGTTGCTAACTTACGGCTTGCTTATAGCCTAAATCTACGTCAATAACGATTCGGAAACTTTTTCAGACATTTGAACCTGTTTCAAAAACTAAATTATTTAAACGGGAGAGGCAGCAAGTTTTCGTGACGAGTACGTTAGCCTGGTATTTCGAGGATTCTGAATTCGAGTCCAGCTCTGAACACTAACGGAATTTTTTCGCAGAAGTTCCAGTACAACTTAAATACCGTTGTCTACCTCCTGGTGACCGAAGATTTTTGTCATGTTACGTTTGGTTTGGATTATTTGTTTGTTGTCGAGTGGAGACCCTGTACTGGAGTTTATTTCCACAGTAAAGAAAGCGTTTACGTGTGTGATAATAGTTTACGCCGGGTTACATTTATGTATCTGTTAAATTTTATTCACTCCAAGGTGTGGAAGTTCTTTCCAGAACCGGATGGCAAGAAACCCTCGCCGCCTGAAATTTTGGTAAAGTGCGCGTTTTAATTCCTATTAGATAAAGGGATGTTTGTAAAACAGGAAACGGGAAAACAAAGTTTGGGACCGGAAGTATCGCGGTAGTCTACATAGCAATTCAAGATGGCGGATTTCAACACGGAAAAAGGGACTGAGCAACAGCCTTGAGTTAGTGCTCTTGGAACTCGGTCGTTAGAGCAAAGTTATATAAAGCGGTTATTATTGATTACTTATAATGCGGTACAAGTCCAAAAAAGATCTGGCTCTAAGAAAAGAAACATACGGTATTTTCTTGTCAGAAGTTCTTTCAATGGACTGGGAGTTGTTTTACATTCAGTCCTTGTTTGTCATGTTGATATCAGCTGAGAATCTGGCTAAGACATATTCTTGTTCTTAAACATACAATTCATTTGTTTGTCTTCCATTTTCTTTCCAGGCTGAGCTCGAACATGACACTGAGGTATGTTTGTCGTATGTTTTTCGAAGTATGGGAATCGTTTCCTCTGTTCCATCTTAATTCTCGTCTTTTGATTTCATTCTGAATCTTTGTTTTCGTATTTTTTGAAGGTGAACTCTGTAGATCTTGATCCTACAAACACTCTTGTAGTAACAGGCACCATGGATGGTAAGCACCTCTTTGGCTTATGACGTATCTTATTCCCTCCCCACGCCAACGTCGTTCCCACACCCATCCTCCCGATAGTAATTGATCGCTGTTTTCTTCTGATTGTTAGGAACAGTAATGCTTTGGAACATTGATCAACAAGCGGCCATCAGTCATCACCCAAGTGAGTACAGCGTTAAATTTAATCGGAGAACTACAAATGAATAGAAGAAAATTGATTGAAAGTAAAGAAATCTTAACCCAAGCAGTCGACTCTCTTTCTTTTGACCACTCAAGAGAAATGTTAAATTCAACCAGAAATTTTTTTCCGTTTTGATTGCTTAGATCATAAGGGATCCGTCCGTCGCTTGTCGACGGGCTGTCGGATGGTTCTATCGTTTGAAACCCTTCCTGTTTTCTTAATGCAAAACCACTGCAAGCGAACAGAGTTGGAGAGGGAGGGTTGGGTGGGTGGAAAGGACAAACTTCTACTTTCAACCTCTTCAAACTCCTTCAATTGATTTGTGGGCGAAAATGTGGTTGGGTAGGGAGGGCTAGAAGGTGCCTTACCGACCCCATCTTCGTCGAAAAACGGTCTTTTTAATGATAAATGAAATTGAAATCTCCCCGGTATTCTACAATTAGGCATTCTTTTCTGTCAGGAGGGTGGTGAACACTTCCCTTAAAAAAACAGAGAGCGCTTCACGCAGCAGCCTTGACGTCTATTAAACAGCTCATTCTAAGCATTCTATTTCCGAGTTTGATTATCACTCAAACACTTTGTCTTGTAGTCGATAATTCTGTTTGCGAGAAAAGTTAATGAATGTTTCTTTTGCTCTGCATTAGTTCATAAGGAGACTGTGCATTCAGTTCTTTTCAGCCCGGGTAAGACAGGCAGATTTCTTTGCATCAAACTGTACATATAGTTAAATGGAATGTAACATAAGTAACGACTAGGAGCAAATCTTGTCAGTAGCGTTTTACAGGCGTTCTGTTAGCGTCTTAGGCGTCAGTTAGCGCCGTCCTTGTCCAGCGTTATTCCTTATCAGGCATGCGTTGTTTTCCAATGTACTTGCGTTGTGTCCGCTGTTCTAGAGCGTGGCGTTGTCGTCGTTGAGGAAAGCAAGTTTTGTTTAAGACACCCAAGAATTGGGTGAAAACCTGCCAAATTACTGAAGTTTAACCCATTACACCCTAACCTCAGTATGCTTGTTTTCCATACTGTTCTCTATACATTTCTTAATATGCTAATAAGGAGAATTTGTTGAACAATCAAGAGCTTCCTCCGGTGATCATTTCTTTTATTCTCGTGACCTTAATGTGTGAGAATTTAGATGGTAGGGACGATTAGGGGTCAAATGATTTAGATCTACACAACGGACCCCCTTACAATATCTTCTATGATAGTATCCTCCGTTGCCCTATTTTATGCTCATCCGTAAGGAAGTAATATTGCAGTCATCCATATTTAGATAGTACCTAACAGGTACCGTTTTTATTTCAGACGGACAGCGGATTCTGTCGTGCGGCGCTGACCATTTCATGAGAGTGGTGGACGTCCATACAGGGACAGAGGTGTATTCCAAAGATGTGGGCGAGGAAATCAGGTAGGTTATCACAGTTTGTTTCCCTGCTTTGGTCCACTGGGGAGTAAATTGAGTTTTATATGTCCCATGATCCTTGCTCAGACAATCCTAGCGCACGTACTTAGTGGGAGATAAGTATCTCATAGGCCTCAAAGTGTCGAAATCGCCTATGGTGGCTCTTCTTTAGCAATGGACTCAAAGAGGCACGGAAAATAAAGTATTTTTGTACATTGTTTGATGCATATATTTAGGGTTTTGTTAATATAGTGACTTTCCATTTGCTTTTTTGTTAGATGTGCTGTGTGGGATGGTCAGATGGTACTCGCTGGTGGTGAGTCTGGCTACCTCCAGATCTGGGATCTGATAAATGTGCAGGAAGTCAGCAGAATCACAGCTCATGAAGGTGAAGTAGATCAAAGATTTAAACTTTTAATTTCACGTCGATGTTGAAATTCTGTAGCTCTGTTGATTACAAACAAGAGAGTAAGTCGCTGAGAAACCTTCCAGCTTGTTCCAGGCGTTCAGTTAGTAAGACGGATCGAAATAGTCAACGGCGCGATAGTAGAGGCAGATTGAACGTGAGCGAGGTCTGGGTCGGGCTATTACGCGACCCGACCCAAACCTCCCTCATTTTTTCTCTTCCCTGTTACTATCGCACTGTTAACATATGCTCAGCAACCGAATAAGATAAAACCGATTTTAAAACCTTTCCCTCTAACCTCAATGTAAGCCTTACCCTAGCTTTTATAATTTCAAGCTTTAAAAAGCATGATCACAAATCATAAAATAGGAAATGTAGTTCGATCAGCACTACTATAGCTATTTAAGACACATTTTATTTTTATGTTTGTTTATTTTTATGCTGATTCCGATTGTAAGCAACCTTTAAGATAAGCCTCTTTACCCCTTGGGAAGATTGCAGTCATGAGGCTTAATAGAGGCAGTTGGCTATATTTGACCCGGAAAATTTTTTACATCACTGTTTTAGTTTTGTAGTGCAAAAAGGAAGACCACGTAAGTATATGGAAAGGCTAGTCTTCGGCATGAAATTTGTTGATTGAAATCAATTTACTTCTCTTTTCTCACCAGGAGCCATTCGATGCATAGATGTATCAAGTGATGGCTGTACTGTAGTCACCGGTGGAGAGGACGGTCAAGTTATAATGTGGAAACTTCACGTTTGATTAAGATAATCCGTCGCCTTCAGTACCCATCATACTGCCGGCCGACAAGATTTCATTTGCCAAAATGGTACAAGCAGTGCCTCGTGTTCCCCTTCCCATCATGCCCTTGTTCTTAACCGCAACCCCCGAATCGTGCGCGTTATGAAAAAGACTGGGAACGAGTTAACTCGTGGAACAATCAGAGTTACGAAAACAATCTAAAGAGCGCCTTCGAACAGAGTCTTGTGCGAATGATCTGGAATCCTGGCTGGTTAATTAGTAATTAAGTTTCAGTCCGTCTTTTGCTGAAAAATTTAGAGATCATTTGACATAATTTTCTTTTTTATTTTGTTTTCGTCGTTGTAAAATAGAGACGATTTGTGGACTAGCGATCAACTTGACCGCAGCCGCAAACTGTTCGCAAAAGCTACTCACATATGCTAAGGGACATTTCGCCCCTTAAAAAAAATATATGTATACTAGCGACATCTTAATGAAAACTATGAAATGGTGTCGTAGGCTGAAGTGCCTCCCGATTTGTATTGTAAATGTATTAAGTGATATAGTTTTAACATTTTGTTACATGCTATGTCTACGTCCCATAGGGAAACAACGTTTTAGATGAAAAAGATAGTTTACTAATATTTATTTGGGGAAGTTTGCTCACACGACGAATTCATAGAATTTATGAATAATCTACTCGACCTTCCTTTTGATCCAGGGTGGTAACGGGCGTGTATGCTTATCTTCCCACCTGTTCCCCTTATGCCCCACCGACTCTTTGTCTTCCTCTCCCCTCCCTTCTACTGAATCCCCTCACTTCAGGATGTAGGCCGAGCCAATGAACATCAGGGGCTGTCAGTCTTTTAGGCTATGCATTATCCGTAATTTGTAATTAGAGAAAGTTCAACTCAGCTAATAGAGTCGTTTTTCTTTTGCCACACTTATTTCACGCTTTTCTTAGACTCTTCATTGCAAATGTATTTAAAGACTTATTGAAGTCGGTCTCCACTCAACTCAGTGACCTAGAGTGCATACGCATTTCGTTTGAGTGTCGCAAGATTAAAACCAAAGTAAACACAACAGCAAATCAGGGAAGAGGAAGATATCACGAGCAACCAACGAGAACGGAAAATGTGTGGAAAAAAAAGATGAAAGAAAAGTGGAAAACGTGCTTGTAATTTCTTCGCACGCTAGCCCACAGGCTGACTACACTCAGGCGAGATATTCAATGTGAAAGTTCATTTAGCATGAGTCAGCCAGTCTTGTAGTCTACACATCCTACTACAATCTGCAATGTACTGCAAGTACTCACTGAAACTGAAGGGTTATACAAAAATAGGCTGTGCGACGCCAGATACGAAAAACCACTAAAAAACCACTCTTTAGAAGAGGCCAAAAAATATGTGGAAACGTATTCCTCATCTAATGCAGCAGCACTATACCCCGAGGAAAGGGTAACTAAAATAAAATAAACCTAGTTATACTACTAATCACACAGAAAATTCAATGAAAGCAGTGATATTTTACAGAGTTGTAAAACAAAATTACATTAAATAAAAAAAAAAGGAAAGTGGTCAAACCTAACACTGACCGACGTAGAATGACTTAATTTTCCCCGCGAAACGCTTAAATAATCCGAAACTACCATGTTGCCATTCCATGCGAACCTCTTCAACGTGCCGTCAGAATATTAATTTCTGACTAATTCGTTGCCATGTCACTCAAACGTCAGAAATTACATTTTCTCAGGTGTTCACATGATCACATCATAATAATGGCTACTTAACTAACGTATCTTACGTTCTAATTTCATTACAGAAACTAATCAGAAACATTATATAATTATTTTAATTTTCTTTGATATGGTAGCACGAGTTGGGTCTGATTAAGTAAACTAGGCAATGGAGCTGTAAGGAAAATAAGTTTTTCTTTCTTCGTAGTTTTTGTTTTGAACAAAAACATATAATTAAACCCTATCCCGGACTGTAATAGGGTTGGAAAGTAAGGTCGACAAAGAGTGTACCTTGATTTGAAAAACTTGTAGAAATTAATGCACAAATAATTTTATTGGCTGCATGGGCTAGAGGAACACTTTATAATTTCTAGATGTGATTTTAACCATGACGTAGAAGTAGCAGTGTAACGACAGTGTATTTTTCACACTACTCATACGCGCCACCGTTTTACGACCTTTATGGTTATGACGTGGTCACCTATTTTGTACAGACATGATGATCACACTAAGGCTCCATATGCTAGAACATGTTTGCCCTTTTCTTCAACAATGGATTCCATGGTGAACAAAGGATTGAAGGAATACACTCCTTCAACACCCAGTCCCAGCATTTTGACCATGTGAAGAAAAAGGACACGAGATTACGTCAAATCCTTGTTAACCACCACATTGCCACGAGTCCGGAAAGCTCCCAAACCTAAAGAGAGAAATTTAAAACGAAAAGCGAACGAGTAAATCTCCTGCCTTTTCAATTGCAATGTATCGGTTCATTGACTAAGAACGAGTACTATGTCTGTAAATCTAGTGTAATTTATTTGCTCAAGTACTAATTTAGATAAATAAAAGTGTTACCGCACTCTTTGGAACCAAAACTAAAGCTCTCCAGTCGTTCACAGACTGTTTTGCTTAAAATTCAGTACCTCCGAAATTCAAAATGAAGTTGCATAACGGCCGATCTTAACATATTAAAAGCGCCTCGAGAGGAGTCTAAAACAATTCGGATTAAAACACTTACCTCTGTCAGTTGTTCATTAAGGTTTGAAGTCTTCTCTTGCGATTCTTGCTTTGCTGGAAAAAATTCGGGCCTTTTGCAAATTGAAATCAAAGTTTTCAGTCGATTTCATAGGGTGTGCTTGTTGGACTCCACCATAGCAACGTGTTTTCGTCGAATACAGGCACAATTTGACCGATTTTGCTCAAATTTTCGACAGCAAGGGTCTCTCCCATGTACACACATCCGCCATGCTGAATTTTGCTCACATACATTACATACGCAGTAAAATTTCATTGGCTAAACTAGGTCTTAGCCCAAGGGGTTGCCATGGACGCTAGATTTATGCAAATACATAATTTGGTATTAACCAGAGAAGTAATAATTAACTCGATATTTCCTGTAGACCGCATGCGCGAACTAAATTTCCATCGCGAAACAGCCGTGATTTTAACCCACCCAGGATGGTGGGAAAACTCAATGAAAGGTTTTAAATCACGAGTCGACGGCAAGTAATTTACAAACTTTTCTAAAAATACTGTTGAAAACTGTTTCATACATTTAAATCAGTATCAAATTTTAATGATATATAACTGAAAAGGATAGACTTTCTGTAATGTTAACGCTCAATTCGTGCGACACAGCTATACAGATGTTCAGCAAACTGTATTTTCTCGTTTGTTTAATATTATAGCCTTGGGGGTGAGGGTTTTTTTGGGGGAAGGCGCTTAGTAGGGTGCAGGTGCTTATTCGATGAAATACGGTATTTGAAAAAATAAAATAAGCTTTCAAAAGCTATCTATCGACGAAAAGGGGAGGGAAATTTGGACAAAAAATACCGACAAAGGTAACCTGCGAGTCCAATTCCGTTACATGGATCATTTCTCTTTTTATAAGCCCATGACGTAGTTTTTTTTTTGATGACTGTCACCTGATTGTCACGTGACTTCCTTCGTCGCTTGAGTAACTCCCAAGAACACAAAATGGCGGCTAACGCAGGGGATTCAGCAGGGACATCTGCCCCTCCAGAGCCTGATTCAAGTGAAAATGCTCCTCTGTTGCAAGAACAAGATGATCGAAATGAAAATCTGGGACCACCACCTCCATTCGTCGCAAGTAAGTGGATTTATAACCATTATAAGCTCTTTTCATCCTTTTGAGAGGAAACTGCGGATGGTCGAACCTCATTCCTGTTTATTTTCGAAGCGTATTACGAAATATTTCCTGTTTCGCAGTTTGGGTATTAAACTCTAATGATTCTTCTCAGAAGTCTCAAGGATATATTATGGGTACGACTAAGGATTCACAACTTTCCGATGTGATATTTTTGTGACAAGCAACAATTCATTTCACACCGTGTTTGTTTCAGCCTTAGTGTTGTTGCGATAACAATTGCAGTTAGATGAAAGCCGGTTGTAGTTTAATTCCTTTGAGCCTTGTTCGGTGTGATGCAGATTTTTGAGAAATGCTTAGATGTATGGGGATTAATTATGGTCTTCCAATCAAGTTTAAAGAATGGACTAAATCATTCGATGAGTTGGTGCAAAATCGAAAAGTAAAAGAATGCGCATATCATGGCTTTTGGGTAATAACCGCAGGCAGCTTGATCCATATTGGTAACGTAATAGGGGAACACTTTCCATTCTTCAGCATTTTTGATATATTTTGACCTTAAATTCTGATATGCTTGCCACTTGTATTGTTCTATACATCTATTTTTGTCTCTAAAAAAGCTAAATGTGTGCAATCAAGTAGAAAAAAAGTCCCATGAGAAAACTCGTCATGTGTTAAAAAAAATTCAGGGAGTTGTGGCAAAGCTTTCGGTTAGTGAGGCATTGCATCTAATTTTATTGCAGTGTCACAACATTGCGTTCACTTACTCATTGCTTTTTGTTGCAAATGATTAATTTCTACTCCAGACAGTGATTATACTTCTTACAAGTCACAAAAAAACTCCCTATTTTATGGTGCATGTAAGAATGTAGGTTAAACTACCAAGCTGTGAGTGAATGCTGACATCATGATATTTTTTTCTATTGTGTTACATTTTTTGCCAATTCATGTTTCACAGAATATTTAGTCAGTAAAAGGCAAATATTAATGGCATCAGCAGTATCTGAAGGTATTGCCCCATTGCAGATGTATCCCTTACCAGATTTTCAAGTTCTACCCCTGCTTCAGAACAAGCATACCACCAAATAGACCTTTTTACAATTCCTAGCGCCATATTGGACATGCAACCGCGCACACATGAGAACCAGGCTGGGGTTGACTCGTGTAAAATCTCTGTGAGCGCTTTTGTTGAAATTCGTAGGTGGGCCGTAAAATTGTTTGATTTTTAAGGAAAATGAATGGTCCTAGCCGAAATCTCGATAAAGCTAATTTTTCTCCCGAAAAGAAAGGAAAGCAGTGTGCCACTTTTGGTTTTTCAAATACATTTTATGGCCCCAATGGTTTGCCTACAAGCTTTCACTTCTTCAAGTTTATGCACAGAGGCATGTATTTTTGCTTAGTATTTATTGTTCTATACTTATCTTATTCTCTGTGAATTATGGATGAGGGTGACTATTGTTGCAAAATTAATACAAATTTTCTATTAGGTACCTGAATTGTTTTAAGTTCAATAGAGTTTTTTTTATGTCAGCAGTAAGTCAATAAGTTCAGTACTGCTCACCTGCACTACATGGCTTGCCTTAAACACTCCTAGCAGAAAAACTCTTGGAAAGTAATTACTTTTAATAAAATAACCAAGAAACTGTATCTTTCAAGTTTTCACTTATTATGGCAGACCCAGAAAACTGACACAAATTTGGTAGCAATTGTGACAAAAGAAGTTTTCAGTAGTTGTTGTTTTTGTTTTTAATGATAGCATAGTAATCCACTGTGGATGCTACATGGAACTCTCAAAAAATATTTTGTGTGTGTTATGTATCAATCAATTTGATGCTTCAAATTGAAAAAAAGAAAAAGTGAGTTTCACCAACCAAGAGAGGTCTCAACACAAGATGAACTATGACACTAAATTTATTATTCACAAATTGTTCTCATAATAAAAAGTTTGATAGAAGTCTCGCAAAATTAATTTCTCATAAAATTCGATGGTCTGAAAGATTCTCTTCCAAACAAATCTTATGGTAACTGTAACAGTATAAAATAAATATCTTGATTTGCATAATATTTCTCAATCTTTTAAGTATCTTCTTTACATCTCAAAATTATATTATCATAACATTGGTTAACACAATGCAATAAGAACTAGTATAACAAACCTTTGTGTCAGAAGGCCTCTGATCGCTAAGAATGGGAATATCAATTCACTTAAATGTGTGTAAAGGACTAGCATTGTTGAGATCAGTAGCTGAGAGGAAGCATTTCTGTTCTCTTCCTTTAACCCTTAAATACCCGAGATCTGATTGTTAATTCTCCCTTCTAGTTGCTACACATTTACTTGTAAATAAGTTATGAGAATTTGATGTAAGATCAAGATAACTTTTGCCTGATAAGTTTCAGTATTATCATTATCTGTATGCTGAATAGTGTTTGGATATTATAGGGAGAAGTTACATGAATCAGTCACTTTTGGGAGTTTTTAAATTGTCTAATATTTTGGTCTAATTCTTTCAATGCTGTCTTGCCACCTAATAAATTACCATGAATTGTGAGCTGAAATAGTTTTCAATGTATCATGAGCATAAGTTGTCCTGGGCCAGATGGGTATCAAAATATAGAAGGGTTATAATCAAGTGGTTCTACAGGTTCTATTGTATAGTTTCCCATAAGATACAATGTACAAATGGCAAACTAAAATACATCTTGGTAAACAAAATGGGAACAACTTTAACTGAAGAATATGGTACAACAACAACAAGTACCACATAAACAACAGCAGCAATAACAAATCTCCCCTACCTAGAGGGCTACAACCTTTGTCTTGCTTTCTAAACCATACTGAACAGCTTCTGTGGTACTTCCTGTAATGCATTCCTCTCAACATGATGTAGCAATATTCTCGTGAAACATCAGGGTAATTGTAAAGCTGAATGAAATTCATCTCAGGTAAATTACGGAGATCACTTGACCATCCAAGAGCTGAAATCCTCACCATAGTTGCTTTGTATTCAAAGTCGCTCTGGTTCTGTTCTAGGTCCTGAACATCTGTAAGAAGTTCTCGGTTTTCTCCACTACTTGATGGCAGGACATGTCGCGTCAGCAAAGTGTGAACTTTCGACACTAAGTTGGCTCTGATTTCACCTGTTTATTTTGAATTAGATTTTAAAATCTCCCTGAGATCTTTTGCTACGAGTTTCTGAATGTCATCTTATGATGAAATTTCCATGTTGTTGTCTTAAAGAACCATTTTAAAGGGAGAAATCGCATTGAAAAGTACATTAGAACATGAAATGTCGATAGATCAGCTGTTTGAAAGATCCCCAGCCTCGTTATCGTGTGTGCACAGTTACTAATCCAATATGGTGCCAAGAACTGTAAAAAGGTCTATTCCTTATGGAATATTTTATTTTGTTGAAACCATAATATGTTGTAATTAACATAAAATTTCACAGTAAAATGATAACTGAGTTTTATCAACATGCAAATTAGCAACTGTGTTAAAAGATGTGTGACTACTACACAAGTGATGCAAAGCTGCTACATAACTCTGGTCTTTATCTAACTGGTTCTGCAGCAAGAAATAAAGCTGAAAGATTTAGGGGCAAACTCCCTAAGGTAATAGATGGAAAACTTGCAGTGGGGCAAAATCTTTATAAACCTCCTTTCAAACTGGCAGAAGTAAAGCTGGTGTGCTGCATTTGCAAGTGGTTTCAGATCTGTTGTTGAAGAGCAAAACTTAAACAATGCAAGAGTTTCAGTTATTTTAACAATTACTCTTTATTCAAGGTCCTCCCCCCATAATTCCTGGAACACCTCCACCGGCTTATTCAGAAATGCCACCACCCTACGCCCCACCAATTTCAATGAACACTGAGCCATCTGTGATCTGCAGAGTTTGTCAACAGCTCATTTACATTAAAGGAAGGGAACACCAGCGGGTTGTGAAGTGTGCCAACTGTCAAGAAGCTACGGTGAGAAACTGACTTCCAATTATGCCTATTGATAAGGAATGACATAAAATTAATGTAGATTAAATTGCAAATTCATACTCCCATTCAGAAGGATTGACATATATGTAGCTCAGATTGCAATTCCAGATTTTAATAAAAAATAGAAAAAAGAGTGATACCCTCATGTAACATACTGGTATCTATAGCCAGAATATCTAAATTAATTTTTCATTGTAAGCAAAGAAAAAGTTGCATAAAGGGCTAAGCCTCCACATAGCAATAAATTGAGTCATCTAACTGTGTCATTTATTCCTGTACACTCTTAAGATCAATATGCTTTTTCTCCATACTGTTCTTTACATATCTCCAAAGGTGCTGACAAGGAGAATTTGTTTACGATCTAGAGCTTCTTGAGTTCTTGATTATTTCCTTTATTGTTGTCACCTTAATGTCTGATCCAGGTGTGATATTGTGAGGAGAAAGATTGGATATTTTTTTTTTCCTTCCCTCAGCCTATAAAAGCACCTCCAGCTGGCAAGAAATACATTCGTTGCCCGTGTAATGCTCTGCTGACCTGCAAGGTCTCCTCCGTCAGGATATCTTGCCCAAGAGTTAACTGGTCAGTTCTCAACAGATATTTCCATTTGTGAGATTGAGTTGTCACTCAATTCTGTGTCAACACTGTAACTCAGAGAAGTGACTGACATGTAACTTCTCACTTAAATATCCATACATTATCCAGCAATCAGTTAATGAGAATTTTCAAATTTAGCAGATAGAAGTTATTATGTTGATTCAACACCAAATTCTCATTACTAAGTGTCAAGGAAATCTGTATCAGCTAGAGGGGAGAATTATCAATTAGATCTTGGGGTTTAAGGTTTAATTGGAAAATGGATGTCATAGAGAGAAATTTATTTGACACATGTCAACATTTTTGCGATCCAGGTGTCTTCCAAGAAGGGTTCTATCAACATATTGAAAAGTTATTGTTTTTGAATTATTTTGTGATCTTGCAAAGGTAATTCCAGTTGATGTAATTTTCGCCTTCTCTAGTAAAATTTTCTTTTGGTTTTATGGCTTGTGTGAATAATTTCACTTTTGTCCTTCAGCAAGCGCATAATCAACCTTGCAGCACCTCCAATGCTGCCGCCAGCAGCAACAATACCAGCTATGGCTAGAAGTCAGTTTAGAGTGACTTGTGGACATTGCAATGAGATCTTTGTGGTAAGTTCTAAGTTTTTTTTTCAAAAGCAGTTGGCAGCCAACAAAATTGTTAGGTTATTTCACATGTCTCAGAGTGCTTGTTGTCTTCATTTAATTAGATCTCATTGGTCTTTGAATGAAAAACGTCATGCATCTTCCACCTTGTAAGGTGTACATACAGTTTTAGCCAACACAAGTTATAAATATAGTTTTCTGTCACATGTATTTTTGTTGTCACTCTTTCACATAAAACTAGCATTACGGCATCTGCTAAAGATACAGGAAGCTTTTGCTTAACATACATATCTATCTATTTACCTGTATTCTGATTGAGAATCATTTAAATAAAAATTTTAAGTTTGTTTCAGTCTGGTTAAATGTATTGAAATAAAATATCTTTTTATGTATTGTTTCAATTGGTGTCTATAAGGAATATCAAATCAGCAATCCTTATTTGTTAGCTGACTACATATAAGCAGGGAGATGATCTTGTTTTTATTACAACAGGCAAGACTTGCAACAATTGAGAAGGTTGCCATTTATTGTCAATCAAAATAACAGTTTTATAAGTGAAGTTAATCAACTTTGTATTCCTAGATTGATATGTTTTTTCTCTCCTTCCAGTTCCACACAACAAGCCACTTGGCCAGATGTCCCCACTGCAGAAGAATGTGAGTATACAACTGTTCAGGTTTATCAGTAGTGTACTTTTCAACATTCATAGCAGAAGGTGTGATATTACTGGTGGTCTCTCTGCTACTCAGCTAGGTTCCTCAGAGGAGTCTGTTAGTTTAGGGCTTGGTCAAACAGGAACAACATTGGCACAATTAGGTCCAAGTGTGAGAGATTGTCAGTTATTTCTCAAGGATTTTTGTCTTGTAATGATTGTCTTAAAAGGATTGTAGCCAGCCCTAGATTAGTGGGGTGATCATTTGGGAGGGTGCAAAGAATTTCTAAAAGGTGACCTCATTAGCTTATGGCATCATAACGGTGTAGTGGTCTGTGACACATCAGTATTCTCTCTGTGATTTATCATTTTTAATGTATGTCTTAGTTTCATCTTAAATCAATGATCTGTTTATCTCAGATCTTCAGTGGGACCAAATTTTGCCAGGACTCGTGCCACTATATTTGCTGTCATTGGATTCATCTTCCTAGCAGCAGGTGTTGGAGTTACTGTGGGAACCCTGGACCTTGCAAGAGATTCAGGAGGTAAGCCACAGTGCACATGTATACAGCTATTTAACTTCTTTCCTGTCTGTCTGGCTTTATTTCTGTCAATTGCTGTAGAAAATTAGAAAAAGGAAATTTTTGGTTTGTACTGTAAGTTTCGGATCCTTGTATTTTTCTATGGGAGAAAAAGCTAATTCGTGTAACACACAGTAAGGACTTTGGACTTGGTATGTAAGAATTATTGATAAAAAACTGGTTAGAGTTTTGCAAAACTTGGTTATGAAATTAATTCTTTTATTTCTTTCCTCTTCTTTCTTTATCACTGTGTAGATTATTAGTTTTCATTCAAGATACACTAATGCCAAACTCTTTTGTGTTCTCTCTAGGTATCTATGTGGTTTGGATTGGCGCATTTGTTGCTGGTATCCTTAACTTGATCAGAAGTTGCTATTACTGCACCATGACTGTCAGTTCAATTGAAGGAGAACCATAAATGGGTGTCCTTGAAGAAGGCATCAATAGAAAGAACAGCAAGAGATGTCTTTGCATGCAATTGTTATTTTGTAATAAAATCAGCCTGGATGCTATGCACAAATTTGAGGAAAAACAAGTTGCAGTGCTTAGAATATTGCCTTGACAGTGGGCGAGATCTTACTGTCTGATTGTTTTTTTTTGTCTAATTGTCTTAATCACATTGCAGTATGTTCAGGTCTTTTCTTTCTTACTTTCTTACTTGCTTACTAATTCAATGTCCAAATGAATCATTGACTGTCTGCTATTTTGAGTACTGTACTGTGTTAGAGCAAGTTTTTTTTTTTTTTGTTAATGAAATTTATGCAGTAACCTCAGGTTTCGTAATTTTCTCATAATCATTATTTTATTTCCACTTTATCATTTTTGAATGTGCTAGGATAAGGCAGAATGTGAGCCATGTTGGCTGAAGGCATATTTTATTCAGCAAAGAACTTGAAAAAGAACAAAGAAGAACCTGCAACCAGAGGTCTTTGGTTGACAGTAAATATTGTTCAAATGTGTGCTTGGCATACTAGCAATGAAAAACCATTTATAATTATTTCACATTATATATTAGAAATAGAGATATGTTAAGAAAGGAAGCATAGTTATCCCAAAACTAACTTTCTAAACTGAAAATAGCAAGTTGACCCAAATAATTTAGTATGTACAAAACTAAACTGCTAATATCATGAATGAATGGCAGTCTTAAACAAGGTTTTTTAGGTGTCTTTCAGAAACTTATCCATCCCAGTCATTTCATAAATTGAGTAGTTTTGATCTTTAGAGGGCCCCTTGGTTGTTTTATAGATTTTGCAAGCAGTGTTAGAGATTTTGCTGTTTGTATGCATAGTTGGTGAGAAACTTTTCAGGAATATTACTGCAGTCATCATAACTTTCTTACCCATCTGGAGGGAATTTATGTTACATGTTAATTTTGTGGATTGTATGGAGTTTGTCACAGAGTTGAGAGGAGTTTTCTGTGAAGTTCTTTGGTTACACAAGGTGTGCTTCTGTTGTACAACAACTGTTTTTGAAATTTTTAGGACTTCCTTGATCTTTTCTCTTTGGCTTGTAATAATATACATGAAAAAATTACACTTGTCTGATTGGTTTAAAATGAGTACGTTAATCATGCACCACGAGTGTAGATTTGTGACCCATGTGCAAATACAAATGGCGAGTATGCTACCAAAATTTTGTCTGTTGACCCTCCTTGATGAGTTTTTCATGTAAATTATTAAAAAGTAACATGATTCTTGTGCAATTTGGTGTAAAGAAGCGTTAAATTTATCAAAGACTACAAATTGTACACACTCCACAGGCTTGTGTAATTTTGTGGTCTTTAAAGAATTAACTCCTGCTTATTAACACCAAATTGCACTCGAAATCATGTTGTTAACTATACTAACCAAGCAAAAATCGAGAATCAACAACAGGATTGTGTTATGTTCTTTGAGAAATTTATTGCCAGTGAACAACATGATCATTGTAATTTTGTCACTCTGTGTATGAAATGTAAAAATAAAATCAACTTGATATTTAATTTGGTTTTCTGCTTACTCCCTGAAACGGCCTAGCCTACCACTGTCTTCTATGGCTCGGTGGCAGAGCCTCCAAGAGTATCAAGGGTCTGAAGGGATTGGGTTAGACTCCTACCGTCCAGGGAGAGTGCAGGCTCAGTTTACATGGATAAGCCCTACTGGTTGGGGCCATTTGGCCTAAAGGACTGAATCCGAACGAATTGTGACTCTGGCTCTTAACCAGTGAGGGGAAAGGCTTTCAAAAGCCTACCACAGAAACTGAAGCTAGAAACATTATTGCATATACTTAAATTGGTCTCTTGTTTTATTTACAAATATTTATACAACAGCTATGTGAAGACAATCAATCTAGTCCACAGCCGAATTCTATCCATGATATTCAATGGCCGTTGTCTTCAACAGCTTGAGTTTTATTGCAGTGTACTTTCTTTTAACTGAAACGAACTCGAGTAAGAAGTAAGGTTTGGAGAGTGTGGTGTAGGAACTCGTAGTTAAGTCGTGAAGAGAGACTGGGACTTCAATTCGCCATCTTGTGAGTTAAAACGGACCCTTTTATCACCGTAAGGACACGGTCCCAGCACCGCCGCCACGTCATCGTAACTGAGGACTTCTTTGGTCAGAAGTTCATGGGCCAGCTGGAAAGAAGAGGAGAAAAAAAGGAGATACACGACCAAAAGGAGATACCTTTTCCTCTACTGTATCCCTTGTATTGGTTAAGTTGATTGCATTTTACTTAATTTTAGATGGAGTTGAAATGAATCGAGTCAACAGAAGCAAATTGCAATTGTGCTCAAGTTTCCACAAAATGGAAGCTGAAAGCTGGCTCATCAACGCATATACAACACAGACAGTTTCGATGACATTTCTGCTATAAAATTTCAGAGAATTTAGAACAAATGTAAATAAACACAGCACATAAATAATCTTACCGCATTTAGTTTGTCCAAGTTTTCTTCAATTATTGTATTTGTGGTCAGAAATGCCTTTCTGATTAATATGCGTACCTCCTAAATTATAAACAAAAATTTAGATTTTCCGAACATTCTTCAGCCCTTAAATGAGTTCAGGTCACACCAGTTACAGTGCGGGCACGTGTTCCTGTGATCTCTAGAAACCAAACAGTGTGGAGCTAACCACTCAACATATCAGGTACCAGACCCGCGCTTTGCAACGGTTTGCCTGTCACCGATGACGTGTTCACGCCTGAGCTGATCTCTGGTTATAACAAACCTTTCCCAAGAACGACAACCGAAACAGAAATTTTATCTTCATATAAGGGACAAAATAATAGTCATAGTATGAGAGTATATAGTCCAAAGACACGTCGGTTATCTGAGAAATGACAGTCAGACATTGTTTATCACGTGGGAGGGGAGGGGGGGGGAGGGTTGCAGGATTTTGGTCGTGTCATAGTAAAATTTACCTAATCTCCCCCTTAGGCTCTGTAGTATTCTAATGATCCCCCTCCGTTTCCCCTGAAGACCATGTGACCCCCCCCTCCCCCATGATAAATAATTACTGGTGCCTTACAGATGCATTTTATCAACGTAGAGAGGTGCGCAATGTATTTTTTTAATTTCTACGATGGTTGCTCCTTTTCTTTCCAGGGTTGGTTTAAAAAAGCAACTAGTCTAGTTAAAAGTCACAGGAACATCGTACCTCATCCATGAGCTTAGCAAGTTTATCACTGTAAAACTTCTTGGTCGGCTCGCTGGGTTTTCTAACGGGAAATGAAATATTCCCAACACGAGGGTTCATTCCAAACGTCACAACCTGCCAAAAGAATCGTAAATACAGTCAGCTGATGCAACGCCCACTTCAGGCCGACAGTTACCAAAGTTTACCCTGAGTTCCGCGCTGTAAATACATAGAGTAATCCAAGACGAGGAGTAGTTTCAAGTCTCCACTCTCCCCCCTCCCCCGTTCCTACAACAAAACTCCACAAAATGAAGAGTTTACCTGTTTATACGCCATGTCAGTTACTTTGCGAAGATCATCTTCGGCTCCTTGAGGAACAAAAAACGACCACAAAGGGCTTAAAGTGAGGTTTAAACGAGAAAAAGGGATTTTCTTTTCAACCCGATGATCATAAAGGAAAAACCCTCAGGACAAGATGTACAACGACAAGCACCAAACCGCGGGAAAGTAAGTGGGTAATTCACCTTGGACCTCAGAAGGACGTTACATATTTTTCACGCGCGAGAGATATTCGACTTTCGCGGGAATTCGAATCTTGGACCGTCCGATCATAAGGTTAGATACTCTAACATCACAGAAGAAACTAGCTAGTAAGCTATGCCACATATTCGGTCCAGGCACCACCGATACAGATTTGGTAGCGTGTTTGATAAGAAACTGGTGCGAGTTCACATACCTGTAGTAACTCGCTGGAATATCTTGGCTTCCGCAGCTCTTCCTCCCAAGGCCATGCACATTCGATCAAACAACTAAAAGGTAACAAAAAGTGGTGCCATTTTAAAATATAGGAAAAAAAGGAAGGAAAACAATCTCGTACTTTTCTTTCAAAAAAAACAAAGGTTAAATAAAGATGTTCTTAAGAAAAGTCATTTTTCTAACCTGTTCAGTGCTGTAAAGTTTGTTGTCCGAGGGAAGATACTGCGCATAACCCAGGGTAGCGTTGGTCCGTGGAACAATGGAAAGCTTGGAAAGAAAAATGTTAAATTGGTGGGTTTGCCTTTGACAGGACAGAGAACAACATATAACAATGAATAACAAGCGCTCCGGTGAAAATGATCGTAGAGAGACTGAATCTAAATTTCGATCTCTGTTGAAGGTTTTCTTTTACGTCAGTTCCTACTCCTAAAACAACAACTTGACCTCAGAGAACTTGTTTCTCTTAGTAAAATTGTTGCTGTCGTTAAGAATGGTCTGATCTGACAATATAAGGTCATATAAACCAAGTTAGATGGGTAGTTACTTGGGTGCCTGGTTCTAGACTTGGGTTGAATCGTCCCATTGTACTTACTTTCGGCAATGATCAAGATGGTATATTCACCACACAATCTTACAACCCAAAGCACTACAGAGAAATTTTCAATTGAGTGTCCAAAGTAATCTGGGATTGCATTGGGTTTGCTTTACTTCTCTCTGTGATTTATAATGGTTGTAGGACCGAAAGGAGTCCAATTCGGTCTGTAATCATACCAGCGGTCGTTCGATTTGTCAATCTCGAGTATGATTACAGACAGAATTGCGCGGCTTGAAGTCCTGTTACCAATTAATCGTAACCGTTTCAATTTCCGATAAAAACAAATACATTTAGAATAAACATCTCCGGTAGAGACAATGTCTAAAGTAAAAAATTCCTCCACTTTGGAAATTTCCCATTTTTTTTTCAGGATAAGTGGTTGTTGCTATGGTTATTGTGATCAATTCTGTGATTGGTGGATTTAGCTGGGTGGACTTCGTATGATTGGTTACTTTAACTGTTCGATTACGGGTGTCCGACTACAGTCAACTGTCCGATTGCAATGTCCAATTACAACTGTGCAGAATGATTGGTGAAAAATAAAGCTGCTAATGCACCAATCACATTTGCGGAAACTCTAATGGTTATGAGTAGTCCAGAAAACTTGCGTGACTCTCCGAACCAATCAGATGCAACATTAAAACTAACCACTACTTAGTCGCCCGGGTTTTTCCGCGCTTTAGGCAGTCTGATTGGTATTGCTGTTATAGTATCTTCCTTTCCTCTAATTGGCTGTTGTTATTATTATGGTTTCTGTTTTCTAATCAAACTGTTTTCTTACCTTGAGTAACGGATCAGTATGTTCCAACATCCAGCCGACCAGAGCGTGTCCAGCTTCGTGGAAAGCAACTATGTGGCGTTCTTCAGGAGACATAGTTTGAGTCTTCTTTTCCATGCCTTACGTAAATACACAAGGAATATTTTCTAACTAGGAAGCAGATACGGTAAACCACTATCGATTACGAGGAGGAATTTGAATATGTCTACCTTACTGATAACATAACCATTCAGTACAGTGCAAGGGATGGTTAAGGATTACCGCGTGGAAAATGAATTCATCCGCTTAAACAAAAACAAGTTTTGATCAATTAGATCAATATTTACAATCGGTTTTCGTTCAAAGTGGTCTTATCGGGTAGTGTCTGCGCACAGAAATGACAATGATCCGAGTTAATACTATTTTCCTGGTGTTTCGTACGCATTTCGATCGACTCTCTTAAACCAAGACCAAAATAATCACAATGGCCACTGAGAGCAAATGAAAAAAATAATAATAAATAAAAACAAAAGGGGCTCGTTACAACTAACGGCGAAAAACAAGCAAAGTGACAAAAGCGCGGGAAACACACGTGAGCACGTCGCTGCGGGTTTCAGTTTTGCATCTGATTGGCTGTAAGGTAGTGCGAGTTTTCTGAGTCAATCGAACAGAGTAGTGAAACAAAACAAGAGTAACCCAGGGTTACTTTCCCTTCTCAGTTCACAACTGATTCGATCTCTCACTATATTTCTCTTATTATAGATGATTTTAAATGACCGCTGTGTCATCGTAAGATAACTCAATCTATTCTTGCAGATATAATTTTTACTTTACTTTACTTTACCAGCAATGACTCTTTCCACAGCATATTCAAAGTTTCGCTTATCAACCGTTTTCTCATTCATGCGAGCTGCATGCAGAGCAGCCTCGTTGCAAATGTTGGCAATGTCCGCACCTGTCAGGAGAGAGAAACTAAGAGAGATTAATAGCTAGCATGGGTTCTGACCATTCAACAGCCACCAGGCACACGGCTGACGCAATTCTACAAGACCTGGGGGAAGGGAGGGCGTATCTACCGGAAAATCCACCACGGGATTTGTATATGCATTAGGTGAGTTTGTGAGGTCATCAGTATATTGTTTAGATTTTCCCTTTGTAACACAGCGTAACAAAATAAACAAAATGGTAATTTCCCTCAGTGATATTTAACGAGATTTCTGTGATTAAGACAACTTTGTAAACCCGAGTCTCTGATT